GCAATTAAGCTCTGCAAACGTCATCAGCAGATTGTGACATGGCTATTATAACAGACATGCTGTTAATGCTGATTGTGATATGGTAATACCTTCTGAATGTCAAGTCAGGGAAAATCAAAGCAGAGCGCAATAAAATTTAAATACAATTAACTTTACATAAAACCTTATGGACCATCCATACAAGACGCTCAGTGCGGCTTAGCTGTAACGGCGCGTTTTCGCTGCAGCACTGGCCACCAATACTGAACTCTCTCTTCATAAATGCATGCATGCTGCATGTGGATAGCAATAAAGTGTGTCATGAAGTAGTTTCCAAGATTATCTTGTAGGAAAATTGCTTTTGGATAATGAGTGGCTTAATGATTATAACTTCAAGGTTGCGTACATGCAATTTGCCGTATGTGCGTTGACGCGGTTGTTGATTTCGCGGCTGTTGATTTGGCAGTAAAACCGCCCATGCCCACCGCCTGGTCTGTGCCGATGCCTGCGAAGCGCCCGCGGCTAAGGTGACCGGTTAAAATACCAGGTTAACCCAGAGACCTACTTATCCGCTATCACGCGTGTTGCGGTACTGCCTACTAAACCTACAAAAAAATATTGTTCTGACGCTCACCGCCGTGCATAGCATTCTTCTACGGCCCACGTGCCCGTACCAAGCATGGAACGCCCCACGTGCCCGTACCAAGCATGGAACGCCCCACGTGTCCGTACCAAGCATGGAACGCCCCACGTGCCCGTACCAAGCATGGAACGCCCCACGTGCCCGTACCAAGCATGGAACGCTCCACGTGCCCGTACCAAGCATGGAACGCCTCCATAATAGAAATTATTATGAAAACATTCAGGATTATTTAGTAATTAATAAAGATTTCACAGTCGTTGTCCAATTGTATTCAATGCTTAATTTTAATTCATAATCCACAAGAAAACATTCTTAACTTGCGGTGCACAAAGGATTTATTTTGGCCTGGCTTGTTGTTTCTTAACCTACGACTGAGTTCCATGCACCACCCGTCTTTCTATGTACTTAGCATGACATAGCAAATAACTCCTTGTTTATATACGACTTGCAAAATTCATGCAAGAATCGTATTTTATATCTTTTTCCATGTTGAGGGTTTTGTTTATTCGTATTTTCGACGTTGCTGCGAAATGTGTTTATTGGTAGTGCGTTTTGTTAGGATGAAGCTTCTAAAATTTAATTTCATGTTTAAATGCATATAAAGGTATGTTTGGAGATAAACATTGCTAGTATCGACAATTTTTATTTTAACGAAGTGCCTGGAGCATATATCTAATTATCGTTATTAAATTTCATGTAGGCAAACTACTGATGACAGAAACCGAATGGAAAATATAGTTCTGAATCCTTAATATTTTGATAGTGGAAAAAATTCAATGTTTTTAAAAGTTACCAGGAACACACAGTCGCACATTTCTTTTCCCTGCGTGTTCAAAGAATACGATAAACAAGTTATTTATTCATTGAATAGAGTTTATTTTACGTTCATGTTATTTTAGTGCATTTTGCTTTTGATTAAGTTGACGCTTAAAATAAAAAAATATAAAAGTTTCATAATCCATGTATTGTGTTGTCACATTGTGCGATCCTTGCCGAGTAATCGCACTTGCAAAGCTATCAGCTCCTCGACCCGCGCGCAATGTTATCGCGGAAGCAATTTCCTGTCGACGTTTGCTCGAGTTTCGAACGCTCGCCCCAGTTGGCAACGCGCCTGGAAAGAAAGTGTCAGTAGTTAATTGGTTTCCATGCTCTACTCTGCAGTATTAATGTTTTTATTGCGCTACCTACACACGTATAACGTGGGCACGCAACTGAATCTCGCTTCTACTAGCACGCATGTTTTCTTGATTTGATAATCTAGTGTTTTTTATCTCGCTCGTTTGCTGTGTTGACACAACCGCGTGGCTGGGATCCAGTCAAGAAAATGTTTGCCTCTACACTGGTAGAAAAAACGGTGAAAAAACGGTCCCACTGACGTTCTAGTGGCCGGTCGCTCCGTGAAAATAAACTGTTTCGCCGTTTATATCAGAAGTTTTACGGATTTCTAGTGTTAAATTTGAATAAAAACGGCAACACGGTGTTTCTTTTCACCTGCCGACCGGCCACTGAAACGCCGGTAATACCGTTAACGGTAATTTTTCTAAACGCTAGTGTAGCGGTGTCGATAATCGCTACAGATATCATATGGCATTACAAACACGCCGCGTGACAATGCCAGATGTGGGGTAAACTATTGTATATACCGTAAGTAGCGCAGTTCTCAGATGATAATTCATTGAATACGTCTTTGCCTGCCGATGCTCTTGAATGAGTGTGGTTTTCATTGTGTCGCGGTTATCAGAGTTTCCGTGACCGGAGCGATTTACGAACACGATGAGGGTATCTTTGAAGATAAGTTTTATGGCACGTACAAGCGGTTGGGTTCATCGTAAAGCTATTTATTTGTACTGACTTGGAATTAATGTAATCTATCACAAACAATGCGGACTTGATTATCTTTCACATTTCCTAATCGCCTGTCTTCCAAATTCTTTAAATTTATCGGGCAGTCTAAAATTAGAAGTACCGGTACCATTTATGATGGATTCAATTCTTGTTTTATACAGTTAGCGTCCTTATATTATCATCGCAAATGTTCTTCTCTATTGAACGAGATTTGTTGGGACCGCTGAGAGTGTATTATTCGATTGATACAAGGCAGTGACTATAATAAATATATCGCGTAGGAATTAGTTCATTTCTGGTTTACCTTAATTGTACTAGCAGGAAGACGTCGAGTGTAAACATGTGCCCCTGGCAACGACTACCACCAGCTCTCAGCATTTCCCCTGAAGGATCTTCAACCTTGCGATGGAAGTGAAGGATCTCCAACCTTGCGATGGAGGCCATCGCAAGGTTGGAGATCCTTCACTTGGAGAAGAGATCCTTCACTTCCTTGGTTACAAACATTCACGTACACCGTTGTCCATCTTGCGCAATACTTTCTTATTACATTCTTCGTTGTACTTAATTTCAGGACCTTTCTTCTGAATTTCATGCTGGCAAAAGGTTATTTATAATAGCTCATTTTCCAGCGTTGATATATTTTGCAAGAATTTGAAGTTTGTTCAATTATATCTATTTTAAGTATTACGAAAATGTACCAACTTCATGTGTTATATACTGATTGCTTCGTTGTGCCAGTAGCAACAACTGTGTATATTGTGTTCATGCATTGGTAATTAATGCATTATAGTTATTAAGCAATCTTGTTGCACGTCATCAGATAAAAAGTTGGTTGATAACGAAGATTAATAAGCATATTTTCCAACTTAACTCAATTGTTCTGCATCACCATATCCCGGTCGACTGCATGCATGGCAATAAAATTTACTGCCAGTTATTGGTGATTTAATTATGGTGGTTTAATTAATTAAATGTGTTTTAATTGAATTATTTATACCACCATAATAATGGTAGTTTAGTTATGGTTTAATGGTGGTTTAATTAATTAAATCTGCCATTAAACGATTATTCAATTAAATTATGGTGGTTTAATCAACTTTAATTAAGTCATGAGTAGTGTTTAAATAATTATATTCGTACGAAACGATAGTTCTATAAATAAGTGGAAAAATAAGGCTCCATTGCTAACAATTATGTTTATCCAATAATTTGGAGCGAGTCATTAATTTAGACTAATCTCGTTCTATCTATCGTACTCTTTCATCGCTCTTAAAATGAATTCAATTTATTTTGATAAAGCATGCATCATGCATGCGCAGTTGTAATTAACAAAGTCATAAGATGTCTGGTTGTTATCTCAAAGGATGAAGTTGAATGGTCTTATATATATGCGATTGAATTCTATATGATTCAACTCACTGTACGAGTTTAAACAATGCTTTTAACATGGACAACAAAAATTTGCTATTTTCGACGTCATATGCCAATGTAAGTTTAGATAATTTTTGGCTATCGATATTCCCTAGCGAATGCGATCTACATTGTTTGAATCGAACGAGTTGTCTACACGAATATCAATTTCTGAAGGTCCATTTACTGCAGATGCTTCTTGTGAAACCATGGTTATGAAGCAAAGCACCAAATTTCTTTCTATCGAGTACAGACTAAATGGTACTCAACTCAAGTAACGTGTAGAGACATGCACTCTATCCAAATATTCTTGCTTTAATTGATAACAACTTTTGATATGAGGGAAATAATGCAGTGTGCTGGTGCATCAGATGGCAAGCTCCCTGCGTCCAACTAAGATCTCTGAATTGCGTATCAGCTGTTTCTTCCCACGCTGCATCGGGACGATCACTCTATCCAAATATTCCTGCTTTAATTGTTAACAACTTTTGATATGAGGTAAATAATGCAGTGTGCTGGTGCATCAGATGGCAAGCTCCCTCTCTTTGAGATGCTAACGCTGCTTCTTTCGAGCCAGCTTCAGCGGGCTGGACAATTGAGACCTTCCGCCCCTTGTGGGTGATGAATAATTGAGACCTTCCACCTCTATGGTGATGTTCATCTTGACTTTCGGTGCGAGATAGCTAAATAGTTGAAGCGCTAGTAAACATTTGGCCACTAAACTAACTAACTAACTGCATCTAACTAAGATCTCTTCAATTGCGTATCAGCTGTTTCTTCCCACGCTGCATCGGGCCGATGTTTTGCTTAGCTTTGCACGGCTGCGACTCCCTTGAACGGCGTGGGTCGATGCATGCCGCCCACATCATCGTCGAAGTTCTGCCTACAAACTGCGCCGTATAGAATGGCTTTGGAATTTGATTGCGTTGAAGCATTAGAAAACGTAATTTTTAGCGAGAAATTCGTCATGAACTGCTTTTGGGCCGCTTGCGTGCACGCGGTGAGGAGGTTTTTCGGTAAGATTTTATCGTTCCGCTATTTATATTATAAGCCAGTTCTTTTTATTTGTCTTTAGATTGTGATAATTGAGTGATTCGTCTAAAAAAATTAATTTTTTCCGCAGGGAGGCGCAAGCGAGGAGAGTGAACACGGTCTTATCACTATCCGCATCCAGCCTGACACTGTCGGCAAGTTTGCTGGCAAGTTTGGCTTCAACGTAAAGGGCGGGGCAGACCAAGATGCTCCTGTACTCGTGTCCAAAGTTACCGCTGGCTCCCCCGCCGACACTTGCTTCCCTCGCCTCAACGAGGGAGACCAGGTGAAATAATTACAAATTATCATGATAAATTATAACCCAATGATAAATTATAACCTAAAATTGATGAGTTATGTCAGGTGAAATAATTATAAATTATCATGCTAAATTATAACCTATTGATAAATTATAATCTAAAATTGATTATTAATATCAGGTGAAATAATTATAAATTATCTTAATAAATTAAAACCTATTGGTAAATTATAATCTAAAATTGATAAGTTATATGATTTAATAGTTAGATTAAAGTTAATTAGATTACTGATTTTATAGTATTTGCCGATGATGTCGATTTCAACATGTGCAAAAATATACCTATCCTTCCACCCGCCCCAACTAAGATTCAGTTAAGTTATCCTGACTTAAAGAACATTCAGTTAAGATTCAGTTTGAGGCAAATCTCTGAGTTAATTGATATAACTTTCTTCAGCTTGAGGTTTCTGTTATGTTTGTTACGAAATTTCGTGCTTTAGCCTTAGAAATGCCTCAACACTTATCCTAGATCCGCCTCTTGATTAGGCAGCTCGCCCTACTTCTATGAGAACTAAATCACATCATATTCGTAATTTTATTCCTTATTCTTTCACTCTCTTTATTTCGTATTTACTTTTTTGCTGCCACTCATGCTCCTTGCACTATCACTCTCGTATCATTTGGTCCTCCACTGCCGCACTTCAATAGTCAGCCGTTCCTCTAAGACTGTAAGATAAGACAGCATCATTAGGTGCTGACACTCTGTTGTGTAGCCGTCCCTCCAAGACTGTAAGATAAGACAGCATCAGGAGGTGCTGACACTCTGTTGTGCTGCAGGGCACTTCAATAGTCACCCTTCCCTGTAAGACTGTAAGATAAGACAGCATCATTAGGTGCTGACACTCTGTTGTGTAGCCGTCCCTCTAAGACTGTAAGATAAGACAGCATCATTAGGTGCTGAGTGCTGACACTTTGTCGTGTTGCAGGTGCTGCTGATCAACGGACGCGAGGTGTCCTCCATGACCCATGACCAGGTCGTCAACTCTATCAAGGCGTCCCGCGAGTGTCACTCCGGCGAGCTCGTTCTCACCGTCAAACAAAACGGTCAGAATCAATTACTGCCAGTTGATTTCCTAAGATTATTCCTTCTTTAATATCATGTGATTAACAAATTGTCCGATGATCATTTTGAGATACCGTACGTGCTCGTAAGTATAACGTCATGGGCTTATACTTTCATAAAAAAAGTTAAGAGATCGTAAGTTCATCAGCCAATCGTTGACGGCCTTTCAAGCAAAATCCACCAATCATAGACAAGAAAATAGAGCGTAAGTACTTACGTTCACTATACTTTCAAAAAAGTTAAGAGATCGTAAGTTCATCAGCCAATCGTTGACGGCCTTTCAAGCAAAATCCACCAATCATAGACAAGAAAATAGAGTACTTTCGTTCACTTAGCGAGTTTTGAAAGTATATGCCATGGTAGTCTGCACCATATAACGCGTATGTTCCTTGATCAGTTTACTTGTTATCAGTGATGAGATATCGTGAGCTATCTTGCTGTCAGTCGAACATTCAGTTGAGCCTTGACTATGGTGATGAGTCATGTTCGCTTGTGTTGTCCACGTTCTTGTAGACGACTTTTCAGTGTTTTAGATGCAAATTGAATTAATATTTTGAGCTAAGCTGAGAATTGTGTGCAGGGATCGACGTAGTGTAATTCAAGCAGAGGACTAACGCTTAATGGCCAATTAGCTCGTGAATATGTGATGAGTGCTTCGTGTGAGTAGAGGTTGTTGCAGAAACAGTTAAGGTGACTATCGTTTATTGCAGCTGTCGGGTGGCCCTTTTTAGAGGAACAATGTTGTGTGATAGGTGCTAATAGGTTTCGGTGCGTATTTTATCATGTGATATCCTTTATGCTTTTAGAATCTAATATTTTAAATTATCTTCACACAGGTTATCATTAACTCTGAATATTGTGAATATCTCTACGTTAATAGTTCCTAGGAGAATTGTTAAAACTTAGATACAGGGCTAAGACGACCTCCGTCGGTGTGAAGTTATTGAAATTAAAACAGAACAAAGGTGTACTGGAGACCGATGAATTCGATCGAAATCGTGGTATTAATGTAATGATGTTGCATGTTCACGACCAGTGCTCATTTCATCGAACATACGTGAGGAATGGCACGGGCACAGTCGTCTTCTGATACGAAGTGATAAAGTGCATTGCGCATGCTAGCTTCCTTATCTTATCGAGTCCCCTTTTTTCGTTGAATATCAACAGTGCTCTCTCTAGTCAATCAGCCTTCAACGAATTAAAGCTTTCTAGAGCTATTGCACATTGATAGATAACTTAACTCTTTATATTACTTATTGCTCTTTGGCATTATTTATTGCTTTAAAAAATAGTAATTGGATGGTGATGAGTCATAAACATTTGGTTCTCTACGATGGCATGCATGAAACATTCTTTGTCTGAAAATTGGAGTTTGCTAAATGAGCACCTGGATTATTCTATCCCAACCGATGAAAAAGCACTCGTAAGATATGTTCGCGCCCCTAACACACACATTCACAAGGAAACAAAATGTGTCAAGTCCAATGCTTCGATTCATGAAGTGGCATCCGCACAAATTGAAACCCCGCCCACGTCTGATGAGGATACAGAAACCTCTTCGAAAAAATCTTCTTTGTGTGTTCCTGAAGTTCATAGTAATGTATCGCAACTAAAGAATAAACGCTTGTCCGCGATCTCCCATTGCAGTTCCTCATCATCTAGCGTTGATTCGGGCTACGGAGAAGAGCTTGGCTCTCCAAGATGTTCTAGTTCCAGGACCACTTCAAATCATGGCTCTTCAGGTTGTGAATCTCTTGGTGACTGTGCAGAGACTATACATCCTGATGTCAGTATAGAGATAAAGAGTACTGATAAGTGCTCAGAGATCACTCGTCCTGATGGCAGTTTAGAGATCACACGTCGCGAGGAAAGTTCGGAGACCACCTTTGCTGATGGCAGTTCAGAGACCACAATTGATGAAGGCAGTTCAGAGACCACAATTGCTGATGGCAGTTCAGAGACTACAATTGTTGATGGCAGTTCAGAGACCACAATTGCTGATGGCAGTTCAGAGACCACAATTGCTGATGGCAGTTCAGAGACCACAATTGCTGATGGCAGTTCAGAGACCACAATTGCTGATGGCAGTTCAGAGACCACAATTGCTGATGGCAGTCCAGAGACAACAATTGCTGATGGCAGTCCAGAGACAACAATTGCTGATGGCAGTCCAGAGACAACAATTGCTGATGGCAGTTCAGAGACAACAATTGCTGATGGCAGTCCAGAGACAACAATTGCTGATGGCAGTCCAGAGACAACAATTGCTGATGGCAGTCCAGAGACAACAATTGCTGATGGCAGTTCAGAGATGAAGCACACGGATGAGGCTTCAAAGATCAAGTATCCTGATGTCAGTCTAGAGATCGCACGTCCTGATGACAGTTCAGAGATCAAGCGTCCTGATAACAGTTCAGAGATCAAGTGGCCTGATGACAGTTCAGAGATAAAAGATTCTGTTGCCAGTTCTGATGACAGCTCAGATATAACACCTTCTGATAACAGTAACAGTTCAGAAACAAGTTCTGATAGCTGTTCAGAGATGAAGGATACTGATGACAGTTCAGAGACCACAAGTACTGATGAGAGCTCAGAGAGCACACGTCCTGATGGTAGTTCAGAGATTGCCCAAACTGATGACAATTCAGAGATAACGAGTGCTTTTGAGAGTTTAGAGATAACACGTCGTGATGACAGTTCAGAGATAACGAGTGCTTCTGAGAGTTCAGAGATAACACGTCGTGATGACAGTTCAGAGATAACGAGTGCTTCTGAGAGTTCAGAGATAACACGTCCTGGTGACAGTTCAGAGATAACGAGTGCTTCTGAGAGTTCAGAGATAACACGTCCTGATGAGGACAGTTCAGAGACCACAAATAATGATGGCAGTTCAGAGATGAAGGGTCCCGATAAGAATTCAGAGACGAAGCGTCCTGATTTGCTCACAATACCCATAACAACAAATGACATGCCGCCTTTTACAACTTCAACTATCGACTTTGACGAGTCAGAAGTTTGCTGCTATATCTCCTCTTCTCCCATAAAGGCCGTAATCAATCGAGTCCCTTCCAACCACCACCTCAAGCAAGAGTCTTCGGTGATAAGTCCCCTACACCTGGCTCAGTGTTTCAATTATGTTCATGAGACACCTATTCATCTGCAGCCAGTACCGAAGATTACGCAGTCGAAGATTACGAACTCAACGCAGTCGTCCGTTGAATCGATCCAAAGTTCAAGCTTAAAGCATTCCCCCACCGAAAATAGAAATGCTTCACTCTCATCTCCTACGTTGACCACAACGGGAATGACAAAAAGTCTCCATCGGCATTCGAATGCGAGTTTAAATTCGAATCTTAAGTTGAAAGATGAATGCTCCACGAAGCTCAACTGCCATACCAGCAATCGTTACGGGGTGCATCAGTCAACTCTGTACAAAAGTCCCAATCCTGTAAAATGTGTAAATCGAATGAGAGGCAGTATTAATGCTATTGAATTATACATGGACTATACCAAGTTATCCCATTCGAAGGATTCACCTTCGTCCTTCTTTCTTAACAAAAACGCAGTTGATCAGTCAAACTCGCGCAAAAATTCTGCAACTTCCATTACCAGCGAGGGGAGTGCGACATCTAAATCATCTAAGAGTGAAAAGTTGCCCAATAATAAAAAACAACCAACTTTTGTGTCGCACGTTGGAGATTTCGATAAGACTTCTTTAGTCGATCAATCATCCAGCTCCATTCCCACCTCACCAGCAACCGATAAAAGAACAGATGATGCTGATTCTTCATCCTTATCTACTTCGCTTCGTTCTGCATCCCATGGGCCTACGGATCCTGCAGCATCTACAGAATCCTGCAGACTCGCAGGATTCCCGCACAATTCTGATATTACTACACGACGCGAACTTGCGATGCTACCGCGTAACGAAAGTGAACCGACGCCTCAAATAGAAAGAAACCCATATAAGTTTAGCCGCTCCAAAACCTTCCATGGAAACAGCAACCTAAGTCCTAACAAAATGACGAAATTAAAAGAACTCGTGCTAAAGTTCAACAGCAAGAATAAGTCAAAGAAAGTGAACAAAGAATCGAATGATATTGGATCGTTTCCGAAGGTTGTTGATAGCATAAGTTTTGAGCGTGCGCACATTACAACTGAGAAACGAAGTGTGAAAGAATCGGGTTATCTGTCTAAAAATATTATCAAGGGAAGGAAGCCGTCTATCACATTACCGCCTCCGCATGTTTGGAGTAAACCTGCACCGTCCATGCATTCAAGAAATCGAGCAACAAAGCTTAAAAACACATGCGAAAATAATTCATCGTTATCTCTTGCTGTGGACTCAAAAGCCCCCCCATTACCGAGCTCTAAATACGGTTTACGACTGATGCACAAAAGTAACGCTCCAGAGATAAAAAGTACCGGTAAGTCTCAACTGTGTTTCGTCAACCTCGTGACTTCCGAATCTAGAAGCGAGGCAAGCACCACGTACTGTAAAATGTACCCGAAATATTTTACGTGTTATTTTCACGGAATAATGTATAATTTATTATCTTCTATTGATATATTAAACAAGAATCTTTTTTATATTATAGAGTCAAGGTGCACGTTTCTTTAATAATGGTTTTAAATGTATTCTAAATAAAATAATATATGTGGCGATATTCGAACGCGTATCCATGATACCTTTTGTGTCTGGAATTTTCCTTGATCTTAAATGTTACTAATTCTGGTTTTGTCTTTAGTCATCGCGTTACGAGGGTTGCATTGTATAATTTAAAATTTATTTATATGTACTCAATTCAAATTGAAACTTGTTTTGAATCAAAATTAAAATGGCTTTTCTGGTTTGAAATTATGTTTCTTAGATTGCTTAGGTTAAGAAGTTGTTACGATGGCTCGAACGACGACCTTGATTAAAGGATTGTATAAAATTTCAGGTATTTTCTTTATTAACGACTGCCGAGAATTTTGCTCCTGAAAGGCAAAATATTTTTTTTATTCCTTATTACTTTTCGATTTTTTGTTGAACAGTCACGAGTCGCAGAAAATGACTAATATTTTTCAAACAATCGAGACTTTTTGAGTGTAAAAAAACTAGAATATTGTTTGAGCGGAAAGTTAACAATTTCATTATTAAGACATGATAGAGGTAGACTGGGCAGGTTTATCAAGCAATTGATAGGACGCTCGAAATCCACGAACAAGTTTTTTATTTTATTCTTAGGTTATTTTCTAATTCTTGTACTATTTCTGTTCAATTCTTAAAAATCAATTCCTGACCTTGATAATGATTCTTAGAGAATATTTCTTCTGCATTCAGTTTTGACCCGAAAGATATTTCATGTGTACGGTATTCAGTATTGAAGGATCTGCATTTTATGTATAAAATTACCAAAATGATGGCAAAATTGTTCCCCCTCAAATAAAAGATTCAAAGAAACATGCAAAGGGATACATCGTTTTGCTTGTGCACTAGACAATATTAGTTTATTACAATATCATGTTTGTGTACCAAATTACATTAGTTTATGAAAATGATGTCATGTTTCTGTATTAAATGACACTAGTTAATTAAAATGATATCTTGTCATTGTACTAAATTATAGTAGTTCATTAAATTTCATGTTTGTGCTAAGTTTATGAAGGCGACGAAGGTAACCACGAGCCGTGTGCTAGTTTATGCGCTAGATAAAACAAGTTTATTAAACTATCATGTTTGTGCGCTAGATAAAGCAAGTTAATTAAACTATCATGTTTGATTTACAGTTACAAAGGCGACGAAGGTAACCGCGAGCCGTGTGCTAGTTTATGCGCTAAATACAACTTGTTCACCATCATGTTTAAGCGCTAGCTAAACAAGTTAATTAAACTATCATGTTTGTACTATGCAGTTTACGAAGGCGACCGCTAGCCGTGTGCTAGTTTATGCGCTAGATAAAACTAGTTTATTAATCTATCATATTTTTGCGCTAGCTAAACAAGTTAATTAAACTATCATGTTTGCCGTGCAGTTTACGAAGGCGACGAAGGCAACCACGAGGAGGAGGAGTTTGTGCCGCAGAGCGTCCTGGAGCTGTCGTCAGGCGCCCTCCCCGCGCACGGCCCTCAGCAACTCAAGGTGAGCGCCCGCCTGCGTTTACTTACAATTATTGGCTTTTGTTTGAGCTATTAAGTTCGTGCCTAGTATTTGAAGATGCTCTTGTGATTGCAGAATAAAACGTATTTTCATATTATTTTGCTAATTGCTACATTTGTTGTCACTCGTTCTTGTTGAATAGCATTTCCTTACAATTCTTGGCTTTTGTTTGGGCTAATAATTTCGTGCCTAGTATGTAATGATGCTCTTGTGGATTACAGAATTGAGCGTATTTTCATGTTATTTGGCTAATTGCAACATTTATTGTCACTCGTATTGTTGAATAGCATTTCCTTCCTATTATTAGCCTTTGATTGGGCTACTAATTTCGTGCCTAGTATTTGAAAATGTTTTTGTGGATTAAAGAATTAAAGTTACTTTTATATTATTTTATATTATTTGGGTTATTGCATCTTTTGTTGTCCGTTCGTTCATGATGGATAAAATTCAACTAATAATTCAAATGTTGAACATTGTTGTCCTATCGTTCTTGCTGGATAAAATTCAACTAATAATTTAATTGTTGAACATTTGTTGTCCTATCGTTCATGTTGGATAAAAATCAACTCCTAATTCAGTTGTTGAAAAACCAATCTATTGAATGCTGCAAATTGCAGATTAAAGATATCCTATTTATAAAGCTCAAAATTTCACAAACTATTTCTTAGCACAAAAAACTTTATCTTCCATTCTGTATAGAATTTTAAACCTATCTCCTCTGTTAAAGAGTGTAAATTTACCTCGACATTCGGCAAGTAAGGCATGTTACATTAAGATTAAATTTCACAGTTGTCAACTGAATGAAGAAGAGTAAATATTGTCCTGCCTATGAGGTTGCCTGTGCTGTTGTCCTGAGCAAGTGTCATACGTTTCCTATACTTTTATTTTAGAGAACAATATGAATTATATGCAAGGTGGAATTCTGGAAGAGTACATTAGGATTTATGAACATACACATGTCATATCATTGAACAAAAATTCTAAAACTGGACCTTGTATACTTTTATTATTCAATATATATTTTTAAACTGAATCTGAATCCAGATGTTACCAGCTGACCAGGTTGCATTATCTTGAATAAATAAACTCTAATTTGGCGTTTCTGGGATAGAATTCCATTCTGATTATATGCCAATAAATTCTAATAATTCTGATTATATGCCAATACATTCTAATAAATTTATGATGCTGCAGGAGTCGCTTCATCTTCTGGCTAATTTGGCGTTTCTGGGATAGAATTCCATTCTGATTATATGCCAATACATTCTAATAAATCTGATTATATGCCATTAAATTCTAATAAATCTGATTATATGCCAATACATTCTAATAAATCTGATTATATGCCTATAAATTCTAATATATTTATGATGCTGCAGGAGTCGCTTCATCTTCTGGCGCTCGGTCTCGAGTCCGGCGAGTTGATCCAAAAGTTCGAGACGCTGTATCGCCGCATGCCTGGCATGTCCATGGACATAGCGAGACTCTCCTCCAACGAGAACAGGAACAGATATCGAGACATCAGTCCTTGTGAGTTAACAATCTTCAGCAGGAAATTCATGGTGTATATTTCAACTAGTGTTCTAAAATGGACTGCAAGTGTCTCATAATTGTACGTAAGCTACATATTTTGGAATAGAACTGTAGTCACCCATTTTTGTGTGATATGCTTTTCACAATTCTGACGTTTATCTAGATTCATATTATTTTTGTTTATGCATGTTACCTTCGCATTGGGATATAGGTATGTGTACCGATATTAATTTTTAATACATATGTCTTAAGTTCTTAAGTGGCAAGTGCAGCTGTATTACAAATACAATATTATACACACCCTTAATAAAACGCATAACACTCTAACTTTTCCGTGTTAACTTTCTTGTTTTGAACATTCACGTGCACGTAAAAGATAGATTTTGGTAATGGGTTGCATTAGGATACTCTTGAAGCGTATTAGTTGCCAATACACCAATCTTTTTCAATTATATCCGCTAAAGTCGATGTAAATTTTCTCTGCCTTACAGATGACAAAACGCGCGTCATTCTACTGAGTGACAATGCTGACGACGATACCGACGACGGCCCTGCACCGAGCAGCCCTGGCGACAACGACTACATCAACGCCTCGCACGTCCTCATGGACATCCCGGGCTCGAACATCACCAACAGATACATCGCTTGTCAGGGCCCGCTTATTGCCACGTGCCCTCACTACTGGATGATGGTGTGGCAGCAGCAGTGTCGCCTCATTGTGATGCTCACCACGTGTGTAGAGCAGGGCAGGTGCGATTATGGTGTGATTATCACCACTTGTGTAGAGCAGGGCAGGTGCGATTATGGTGTGATCATCACCACTTGTGTAGAGCAGGGCAGGTGTGATGATCACCACGTGTGTAGAGCAGGGCAGGTGTGATTATGGTGTGATGCTCACCACTAGTGTAGAGCAGAGCTTGTGCAGTTGTTGTACTGAGTGACCCGACTGAATGAGGCTGATGTTCATGTGATCACGTAACATATAAGACGAAGCTTCGGTCAACGTTTTCTGTTATTTTTAATTCAATATAATTGCTGTAATGAAAATTGTTAAAGAGGTTTCAAGTGTTGATACGAGTACTATTGCAATGTGTTGGGGGTTTCTAACAGTTATTTATGTAGTTTTGTAGTGCTGCTGAGTATTGCTCATGAAACTGCTAATTCACGAGTTGAATTTTTTTGTGAAAACTTTAATGTTGTAAGATGTTGGCTTGACGGTTGAGCATAAACGATTGTCATTGTTGCGTTTTTGCATAGCTTTGTAGTGGTTTATGTTTAAGTGTTTTTAAGAAATATGTCCTCCTTTACCTAATCTCCCTGTCGGTTAAACTGGAGTCTGAAATTCGTGCACATGCAAAATTGTAGAGGCTGAACAGTGAATCAACTATCGTGGTTCTTATGTTATGGTCCTAATGAATTATTATTTCCACAGAACAAAATGCCATCAATATTGGCCAGAAACTGCCAGCACCACAGAATATGGTTCCATCTCCGTCACGTGCAACCATCAAACGTCAAAATCCGGATATATTTTAAGAGAATTCACTGTCAAACACAAGCCGGTGAGTCAACGAGTTCAAAGTTAACGCTACCTGGAACTATGCGAGGCAATATATTTTCTGATAGAGAACTTTTGATTTCTTTTGCAAGTTACTCTTTCCTTAACTCTCTACCGCCTGACATGAGTAACCGGAGCAATATTGTAACAAGCCTACTCCCCAAAAAGGATACGTTGCTAGTGAGCACTAAAGATACGTGCTAGTGACTTGCCTAGATGGTTGCCGCCACGGACGACAACTTTAAAATGTTCTTTTTTGCATACAAACGTCCTCAGGTTGATACACTTGATAGTTTACGTATAATTTAAGCTGAAAGTTATGTTCCCGGAGAGTGACATACGGCGGTAGAGGGTTAAGCAAACGCGAATTTGTTGAAAATTTATTTTTCATCTATTTTTCGTCATTGATTATGTTCGATAGTTTAGTGGATCTATTGATATTCAAGTTTCAGGCTTGAATTTGGAAAGGATGTGTGACCTGTTGTAGCTGGTTAGTTAATTGAATGTTTTTATCGCTATTATTGATGAATGTTATACCGCTCGAATAGTATAGCGAGTGTTTTAGCGCATTTTCTCATTTATGGAAAAAAGGCTTTATTGTGCTCGCCATGTCCGTCCGTCTGTCTGTCTGTCCGTCTGTCCGTGACTTCACATTTTCGTCGACGAGAAAATGCGCTCTCTGTCACTCACTGCAGCGAGTACTGAGTTATATTTTTGTATGAATGTTTATTGAATTGAGTTATGTTACAGAGCGGCAAGGAGCGCACCCTGCAGCACCTGCAGTACGTGACATGGCCGGACCACGGCGTGCCGGAACACTCCACGGACTTCCTTACTTTTGTCAAGGAAGTCCGCAGACTGCGGGCCGGTCAGTTTATACCCTTCCTGTTGACCGCTGTTGCTGGCAGTTCTTGCTCTGCAACAATAAGTGTTGTTCTTGTTGTTCTTAAGTGTTGTTCTTGTTTTGTTAATAAGTTCTTGCGCTGGAACAATAAGTGTTGTTCTTGTTGTTCTTGAGTGTTGTTCTTCTGGTCAATAAGTTCTTGGTCTGGAACAAAAGTGTTGTTCTTGTTGTTCTTTAGTGTTGTTGTTGTCTTATCAATAAGATCTTTGGAACAATAAGTGTTGTTCTTGTCTTGTCAATAAGTTTCTGCGCTGGAACAATAAGTGTTGTTCTTGTTGTTGTTTATTGTTGTTCATAAGTGTTGTTCTTTTCTTGTCAATAAGTTTTTGTGCTAAAACAATCCTTTAATCATATTGAAGCGAGTGCAATTCTTCAGTTTAAATATATACGTAGTGGTCATTGCATAGTTTGAATATTAGGTGGTCAATGTTCAGCTTAATTGTGGGTTGGTCATTTTTCACTTAATTTTGATTTTTCATTGTTCAATTCAAATATTTAGTAATTGTAAAGTTCAAAGATTGAGTGGTTAGTGTTCACTTTGAATTTCGAATGATCATTATTCGATTAAATATTGAGTGGGCATTCTGTTTGTACTTGTGACACTTTCTTGCTCTTCAGACATAAAATCCATATTAAGAATTCCTCAAAATTATTTCTGTACTTGAACCTTATAACTGAATCCTAACCCATCCTGACGCCTCTTCTTACCTGATTTTGTTTGTTTCTTGCCGATTCTCGGCTGTTACCAATGAGTCTTATTTGTCGTGGACTAGTTTGTTTCGTTACCGCTTCATTGTTGTTTGTTAGACTGTCCCAGCCTTGTCACCTCATAATTGTCTGCATTATTGTCCCCAGAAGACACCCTGAACCAGCCTCATATTTGACTGTATTATTCTCCACAGAAGACACCCTGAACCAGTCTCGTCACCTCATAATTGTCTGTATTATTGTCCCCAGAAGACACCCTGAACCAGCNACGTTAGTTTTACTTTTGTACATGAATAATTTGCATTTAGGACTGTTCTAAAGCTGTCTCTTATACACATCTAGATGTGTATAAGAGACAGCATCAGTGGCATGAATAGGATGATGATACAGACATCAGTGAGTATCATCGCATCAGTGGCGTGAATAGGATGATGATACAGACATCAGTGAGTATCATCGCATCAGTGGCATGAATAGCATGATGATACAGACATCAGTGAGTATCATCGCATCAGTGGCGTGAATGAAGATCAATATGAGAACCACACCTAAATATTCAAAGCAGCTGTACGACAATTAGACAATTAATCGCTTAATGCATGTCTGATTGTCATCAGTAGCCATATAATTTTACTCAGTTCTTATGCAACTTTATTATTCTATGGAGAGATTATTGTGTCCTCTGGTTCAATTGAACTTCGAGGGCACGCTACAGCTGTGAGAAAGCTGTGGAAAAGTTTTATGGTTAGCAAAAAAAAAAATAAATTAACATATACATAAAATAATACACGAGATTTGATACGAAATTAGTAGTTTTTTGACTTTCCTGTATGTGTATTGAAGTAGCCGCAGTTGTGCTCGTTCATGAACCTAACTCGTCTGTACAGGGCCAGTTCCGGTTCGTGTGTGAGGCCATCCATCGTGTCTACACTGAGAAGCTCATCCAGCCCCTGCCTGAATACACCTCCAGATGATGACACAAGAGCGCTCCATAGCATCCGTGATAATGAATTCATGAATTTTCATGACTTCAACAGGACGAGTTTGCTCTGCTCTTCGATGCCGCTGCAGCAGCTCTTCAATGCTTTTGGTGTTCATCATCGAGCCTTTAACAAAGACCTTCTCATGCTGGCCTTCAGTGAAGAGCCAATCTCTGGGCATTGCTCACTGCCGCCCTCATGTGCTTTATTCCTACGTGCATTATTTCTTACGAAGGACTAATTAATGTTTCTACAATCCCATGTGATCGTGACTTTTACCAAATGAATTTGTGTGCGTTCGTCCTTTCTCTTGTACACAAATCTGGTGTAAATGTTCCGCAAGCCTAACACTTTTTCCTGTACACCAGATGCAATGAAGGATTTATACTTGAAGTTTAAATATTCCATGACCCCTTACCTATTTTACTTAAAACTGGGTAACTCTAGATTGTAAACATTTCAGTGTGCCTCTCATGAACTGGAGTGACCAATTTTCAAAGCTCAAAAGCGTGTGAACTTCAAAACTGCGACCGTGAGACGGCTGGCAGTATCGTGGCGTGTAAGCAGTCTCGTGTGACATCTTTATGTTGTAAATTAGTAAATGATCAACAATGGTAGCAGTGTGCTGATCATTACAATGAATAAGCCAATAAAATTACTGTCAGAGTACGGAGCAGTGGTGATTCATCTTACAATTCAATACATTTAATACTACTTTATTTTTAAGTGAAATGAATGTGTTAACAAGATACCAAGTAAAATCTGTATCAGATTCTTCTGAAACCCACGTGTTTCATGTATCAGTTCAGGTAATAATTCTTCATCGTTTTTCGTTATTTCTCCCTTATTTTACTTGTGAGCTAATTTACTGCTTATCTTAGCATTTACGTAGTTTACTCTCAATCTATTTTGTCTATAGATTCTCTCATATGATTTGTTGTAACCAAGTTTTGGTCTTAATTTGATTGAGCCATCCATTTAAAAAATGGCAATGGTTTTAATCTGCTATTTATGAATGGTGGTGTGATTTATTGTTATGGTAATCCAAGAATTGGCATAAATGGAAAAATTAGACATCCTAGAATAGCCATGACTGGCCGAGGCTAAGCGCAGCCTTAGGCTTAATTCTTTCAGTTTGTGTGAAATTTCTTCGGAAAAAATTATTTCTTTAAGCTTGCACTCCTGCATTATGGGCGGGGATTGATATCATGTAAACTGATGATAATAAATTAATTCGTCTTATCGTTCGGTGGAATTTATAGTGCGATTGACCTGCCTTTTCGCTGCGTTGTGCTGGACGAGGTCGGAAACGACGGTCAAACAAATCGACATTATAAATGATTATTTGTATTAAGCTTTCCTATTGTAAGTAACTGTTATATACTTGATATTGTATGTCAATTGTATTGTACCATGTGATCAGCCGCGATTAGCTATTGGAAATGGAATATTATGTTTTTTCATCGCTTTTCGAACCATGACTTAGTAATTTTATGTACATCACAAAAATTGTATAGTATTAGTTTAAGGACGATAAAATATTTTGTTTTGATTCAGGAATCAGTATGCAAATAATTATTTATTATTTTAAATGTCTTACTATTTCCCACGTAGCGGTCTTCCCTTCATCATTATAATTTAAAAATAAATCGCATAATTTTTTTACACTATCATACGTCTGATTGCCAGAGGCTCCGGTCATCTTGGTGAAAGACGTCAAGCGTAGTGTCCTCGCGTCTTTTTTTCAACGTAATCTTGTAAAATACATTGGTTTTGCTACTCATTTTATGGCTGCTTATTTCATGTTAATTGGAAAGAGTTCAATACGAATAAAGTTTATTTTCAAGTGTGTATATTTCATTTTTTTGATGCCTCAGTTATAAATTAACTAATATAGTCGTTTGATGCATGGTGACAGTAGTGCATGCTTCTTGCTGCAATTTTCAGCCGTAATATTTCGATTCTAGGAATATTTTTGGCAACTGCAAAATTTTCTGTACTTGTGTATCATAAGAACAGGGTCTTCGAAACACAAATAGTTTAATAATTTGTGTATTTTTATAAAGCTGATGTTTGGATTGCATGTCTTCTCATTATTGAACATTGAATTAATTTTTCACAGCATGCGAGTTTTCTAACGTCATTTAAGGGAGCTTTCAGCTTGGAATTTCAGTGAATTTTTATTTCGCCCATGAAGGCGACGAATCATTTCAAACAATTATAACCGTTAATTGTAATTTACGAATGTTGCTTCACTAGCCTTTGAACTCATCGATACAAATGTCTCACGTGGCTTCTCTATAAGTTAAAAGTTCCGATTTCGGCTGTCACAGGAAATTTGTAGTATTAATGATGTATGAGAAGGAAGTTTAACTCCTTAGAAGATTCAATCTGGTTTGTTTTAGAAAATTATAGACGCGTTGAGCTGGAGAAAGTATTACCTAGAGTTGACAACAAAGTTGGAGTTTACAGTTCACGTTAGTTTTACTTTTGTACATGAATAATTTGCATTTAGGACTGTTCTAAAGACTGCAATTGTCGCGCATAATTTTCAGAACGTAGGTACACTAATTATATTTCTTGTTCTGAATGGATTTAGCCCCTCAGGGTAGACTACTGACCGGTGTCTGTGCTACTCAGAAATCCTATGGGATTTCGCGCTCCTAGTGGGTTTGTTCCTGAGCGCCCCACCGCTGAGCTCGCGGTGTCTGACTGCAGGTCTCAGTTGTGGGGTTAAGTCATTACGTAGGTAGGATACCTCAATTAAGTTCTTATGTAGGTAGGATTCCTTACATTAAATTATTATGTTGGTAGGAGTTCTTACATTTCCCTTCTCTGTCTCTCTCGTGCGGGCGGCCAAAGTCCCGTGTAAGCGACCTCTTGTTCGAGCGTCTTCGTTTCTGTTGCTTTTCACCTGTCCCTCCTTGTCACTTCGTCTCTTTGAGATGCTAACGCTGCTTCTTTCAAGCCAGCTTCAGCGGGCTGGACATTTGAGACCTCCAGCTTCTTTTGAGTGATGATTGACTTGCGATTTTGAATATTTTGAGACCTTCCGCCTCGCTGGCGATGTTATCTTTTGACCTCCGGTTGCGAAATTGCTTAATAGTTGAATCGCTAACAAACCATTCTACTACTTAATTACTCTTGAATGGATTCAGACTTTTACTCATAACTCAAAAAAATATTTATATCACATTTCACTTTCTATAATGTAATTTTTTTTTTGGAAAATTAGTACTGTTCCGAACATTGTGGTTTGTTACACTTTTGAACATGTTTTTTACTTCTACGTGCATGAAACCAAGATTACGTTCCTCCTTATTCGCCAATGCTGATTATGAAACGCTTGCTGAAAAAAATTCACGCTTCTTTTACAGGAATTTATATTCCTTTCTATTATTAGAAATTATTTATCGTTAGGCTCTAAGTTAGTTTTCGAATGGTTGTAATGCAGAAAAATAATAAGGTTTGACCAACATGTGAGTACTTGACTGTACGTGAAAGTTCGCTACGTTGGCGCTGTTTGTGTATTTCTTCGCCCTTGTTTAATATAACACAGGAAATACTTCTGTATACTACTTAAGCTTCCCTTGAGTCGGACCGCGTTGGAGCCCCAGTCATGTATTAATTAATGAATAAATGTTGTTCTCAAGTCTTGGAGAAAACTATTCATTTTTATTTAATCGTTAGTAGTGTATTACAAGATGAGCGATTCAATAACATGGCTCTATGTGAAGTTTGAAGAAGTTCTCTTTGACTGAGCTTGAAAATTAGTAGACGTCGCACGCATATATGAGGCTTACACTGCGCTTCTTGATATCTACTTAGGTTCACACGTGAAAAAAATACATTCAATATTGGTCCTATCTACCTTCAGACTTCTCTGTGTACAAAATCTGATTTGTTTTACACTAGTAATTCAGCTACGCTGTACTGCAAAACATCGTTAATTATTTTGCGATGCAAATTTTATAGTGCTCTTAGTCAGCCAAAATTTTCCTCAAAAGTTTAAACGGTTAAATTTAAGAGTACATTATATGATATTTTCGCGGCGTATAATGTTCCACAAATTAGGTGTTACTCTACTTTGAATTGTATTCATACTATAACTTTACTCAGGATTGTATTCGTACTCTTACTCTCTACTTAGAATCGTATTCATACTCCTGAAAACGAACGTACTAGGAGTTACCATCAAAGTTTTATCGTCTGTCCTATGTTTACAATACCGTTTTCAACCAGCACACTAGGCATTCATTTCTCATCGTAACGTGTGTGAACGGGGATAGAAATGATAATAATAATAATAATACACGGGGTTAATATTCGATTCGAGTACTCACACTCCGAATATTGTAATGATTTATCTCACAACAGCTCGATGTGGTTCTTCCATCTATTTTCCTGCTGGTTTTTGTTACCAGCAGCGTTAACCACAGAACAGATTACGGATGTTCAGTAATTCAATTATTCAGTGTATTTGTGTATATTTGTAAATTATGTCATGGCTTTAGAATATTCCTAATATATTCACAATTTCTGATATGTGTTTTTCCTATTCCTTATTTACTCGCGGTTTTATCTATGGATGTACGGAAAGTTTCATCAACGGAAGAAATTGCAGTGCATTTGCTACTCAATATAATCCCATATCTTCATTTTAATATTGGTTTGATGAATCGCACTTTATTGTGCTGCTCTCTTTGGCAACTGCCTTGGTTAGTGCTTGTGCATACATTCTATAGGCTGAATATCTTCTCGTACCTATATAGTTAATAAATTTTGTCCATAACGGATTTTTATTAAGATGATGGAATTGATTTTTCAACGCCATTTTTTTTTTGTTCGATGACTAATTGAGGTCATGAAATTAATATCCTCAGATTATCAGTTTTATGACGCATGACGTAAGTTTATTATTTTATGGTCTGATACTGGACAATATCTGCTTCGTCATTCGACAGATTCGTTCGGAATTTAATGCAATTAAAGTTAGCGTTTAGATACGGATTAATTAAGCACATCGTAAGACTTTCCGACTATTTATTTTATGGAATGAATAAATTTTGAAGTCGTAAACTTTATCGTTAGATTTTCCGACTATTCATTTTGTGGAATGAATAAATTTTGAAGTCGTTAAAATTTTCTTGAATTTAGCCAAAGTTATTTGCTAGTTTTGTCTTGCGAAATTATGATAATACGCTACAGTCCGTAAACTATCATTGCTCCTAGAAAAGGCCAGCCCATTAAAATTTCAGAGAGATTATTATGTTCATACTATCACTATATAGTGTAAAAGGCCTTTGGGTAACTGCTTTGGGGAAACTACTTCTTGATTAGGTATTTCTTCATTACTCATGAATGTGTGAGTCATTGAACTAATAAAGAATTTCATGATCCCTTTGTAAACGGGATCAGTTTTCCCGGTACCCAACAATAAATCAATTTCGATATCATTTTTCCCGAGTTTCTTTACTGATAAGGGTAAATGTATAAACGCCCGTGACTTGGAGCTTGATCAGTCGTTGATGCTACTTCGTTGACGTTGTGTCATCATGTCTGCTGGAATGAAAATACTTCTTTTTTTCGTGCTCTGCTGCTTTACAGGTATTAAAAAGACTTAGTGTTAAATACTTAAGGTGTTATGGGTATTGAAAAGGTATTAGGTATTGCAAAGACTTGGTGAAGTGTTAGACTCAGCCTAAGTTTTTAACATAATTGAATCAATATGTTTGCATAATATTGAAAGGATTGCTTTTTGTGTAGATAATGACGTTTTTTAGGCAGGTTTTCATTTGTAAAAACTCGTTTTTTGAACTTTTTACTTGAAATCAGAATTCGCTTTCAAGATTCTTGAGGATCTTCTTAAATCAGCAAATTCAAAACTTGTTAAAAAATTGTTTTGTATTTATCAGTTTTGAATCAAATAACATTAAATAGGAAAAAAAAGATTTACCGTAACAAATCGAGAAATTCCTAAACGATTTCTGGTAAGGAAGGTTATCATATTCTCTGTCTGCAGGGCCTTCAATTAAATCGTTATACGATATCATCAATGTTGATATCATTTATCTTAGTTTATAAAAATGCGTATTTATCCGATATAAATGCCCAAAATTGACAAATTCTGATCTATTAGATAATTCATCTGTCGCATTATTAACATATATAAAATTTCTTCGTGTTTATAAGGGTGGCAGGGTGGCCCAGTGGTTAAAGTTCAGAGTACCAAGATTGACGCACTAGAGAGGCGTGGGTTCGATCCCAGCTCTGTGCGCCAGTTTCTGGTCAGAATCGGCGAGGAGGCCAGGCGGTTAAAAGCAGAATTGTAGCAGTGAATTGCGAGTTCGAGACCTCAAAATGCTGTGAATGTTCTGCGATGTTAAGAATCGGCGACAGGCCTACGGCCTAATAAACGCTGAAACCGCTATTATTATTATTATTATTATTATTATTATTATAAACAGTATGCAGCGGCTCGAGATTCGGATCCGCTACTCGGGATTACCTGCAACGCTCGGATGATGTCGCGGTGCTTCGCTCACTCCGCGCAGTGACGGTAGACAACCGCACCAATTGTGGCCCTGGTGATACGGACCCCGCTAACCGCGTCAACACCACCGTCAGGTAACTCAAAAATGATAAATATTGTTGATATACAACACTTATTATTTAGATGTTATTAAACATATAAAATTCAATACATATTTTTATTTGGGTAAGCCAGCACGACCGTCAGGTAACTCAATACTGATTAATATTGTTCATATACAAGACTTATTATTGAGGTGGTATTAAACATATAAAATTCAATACTTATATGGGTATTTACGTAAACTATGGCGCTCATTACTGTGGACTTTTAATTCGGTCAAAATGAAAACACTGTCGGCTCAGGCTTGGATGGGTGTCTTTGTTCACAAAGTTTTTATTGTTGTTTTGTTCACAGAGTTAACGCTTTGATTGATGAGCTCAAAGCTCGGAATTTTGCTGCCTACATCGTCACAACTGGCGACGCTCATCAGGTATGAAAGTTTTAATTTCGTTTCTGAATGTGAATGAATCAACGTGTTTCATAAGTTTCTACATCGCCGATTGTGTGTCAAGCTGCTTTTCGTATTAGCCTGGTTCTTATCTTTACTGCTGTTACTCGCAACTAAGATTAGTGTATGAACGTTTTATGGCTTTATATTACTTATAAAATGTTTTAGTTTCCCTGGCAAAATATTCTTCCATGACAACTGTCAACGGTTAATAATAAACATGGTGCTATCAGTTAGGCGTTTCATGTGACCGTCAGCGCAAACACTGATAACGGTTAAAATGATTAAAACTTAGTTAAGATTTTATGTCTCCGATTGATCGCTTCATATCACACTAACTAAGACAGGAAAGATAAAGCTTAATGCGCTTTTTTATCGCACATAATGCAGTGTTGAGAATAACGATTTTCATCCATTTTCCTAAGTCGAGAAAAATTAGGAATGAATGTGTACATGTTGTAATAACAATAATTAGTTCTATTTTATAATATCAAACTATAAACTATATCAAACGAACTATTAATACTTAGTACTACTTAGTATTAGTAATACTTAGTATTAATATTAAGTATTACTAATACTTAGTAATACTTAGTATTAATACTTAGTACCTAGTACGTAGTAAAACGAACTTAGAACTATTAATACTGTATCAAACTATTAATAATTAGTTATATTTTACAATATCAAACTATAAACTGTATCAAACGAACTATTTTATAATATAATAGTCCTATTTTAGTCAGAGTACCCCCCGGATTAAGAATAACGATCTTCATCCATTTTCCTAAGTCGAGAAAAATTAGGAATGAATGTGTACATTTTAACAACAATAATTAGTTCTATTTTATAATATCAAACTATAAACTATATCAAACTGAACGAGAAATAAGTCGAACGAGAAATAAGTTGAACGAGAAATAAGTCGAACGAGAAATAAGTCAAACGAGAAATAAGTCGAACGAGAAATAAGTGGAACGAGAAATAAGTGGAACGAGAAATAGGTCGCTACGTGTACTCAGAATGCTATTTGTACTTAGGCTGCTACGTGGACTTTAAGCGTGTTTTGATAGTTAAGCCCCAGGTCTGCAGTTGTGAATCATGTTTACCAAATTTTAGTTATTTTAATGTTCAAGTTGGTGTTACACGATGTTGTATCATGCCTAGCTCGAGTGAGGTTCTGATTATTAGGCATGCAGTTTTACAGTCTGCTCTTGCAATTAATATTTTTAAAAATGTTCAGCGGAACACTGAAGTGTATTTCACTTCAGCGGAACATTTCATCATATTCTGCTCATACGAATAAGCGTCCATAAAACCGAGTATAGTATCTTTATTGGTGATCTTATCAGGTTTACAGCTCAAACTTCGAATTGCAGCTGCTTTTTCAACACAGCCGCGTGCTACGATTGAGTGATTCTTTACAAAGAAATATTTCACAATACTTGCATGTTATCGCCGCACGATTGTTTTGAATTTCACACAAAACGCGTTTTGTAGTCCGATATGCAATTAAATTTGGCTTTAGGTTTTTCAGAAAGGTTTTCCTTATTCAATTTTTAGTTTTTTCTCATTCAACATGGATATCTTTCACGAAATTGCTGTATAATCTCATTGGATTCCGAATTTCCTTCCAGAACCATTATCTGTGTAATGATCTTTTTATGCCGAGGTTCAATAAATATCTCCCAAGTAACACAATTACATAAATTGAACGAAAAGTGAGCACTTCAATTACGAACATTTGAAAAAAAAATTAAATAGAACATAGGTTTAGAGCATAGTTTCATGGCCCAGAACTATTTCTTCATAGATAAGCTGTAGCTTAGCACAGAACATATGGATGGGCTTAGCACAGAACATAGATCCACACTACACAGTATTAGAGTTCAGTATGCACGAACACCGAATCTTCAAGATATATCGGCTTCTTGTGATCTATCCTGGTTGACTTCTCCCTCTGCAGTTGTCTGAATTCACAAACTAGTCCTTGCTTTTGTCCTACAACAAGTCTGCTCTGAATTCGTACGCTGCTACAGGATCGTCAACACCTTAACTTAATTCTACCTTCAATACATTGGTTACTTTCGTTCTTCTTCTCAATCGGTTTCCCGATGTACTCCTGAATACTAAGCTGAGATCCCTACGGTCGGGTTTTGGATAGTGAATTACTCATTATTACGAGTATTATATTGAATTATTCCCTCGCTTTCGTGTAACGATGCTTGAGATGCTATTCCTCATTTTTATGATACACAGCTCAAGCTAATGTTTTTCACACTCACGCCCTGCATGGTTGAGTGATATTCTTTTCACTTTAATTTTAGCTTCTTGCTTGTATTAATTTCTGCGGTATGTGCAGTATCCTGACATTCTGGAGTGGCTGCAAGAAAACTTGAAACCTGGAGAAAAAGCGGCAGCGGACGCTAAGCTTATTGCCTACGGATCATGGCTGTCCCTGAGCAGCGGCCTTGAAGGTAGGTTCCTTGATTTAATGATAAAACGCTAGTTCTGAAATTTAGGATACGTAACCTATAAGATAAATTTTAAATCTATTAGGACATATGTATAGGTAGATACATATAATTTCGAGCAGACTAATATTTTAATTTGGTGTAGATAAATCTTCCCCTATCAAGAAGCATTTATGAGGCCTGAAAAATAAATTTTATTTATTTGCATTGCCGAAGTGACATAACATTGCTGTGATACCTCATAATTAAGGTATTAACACATTGAGTCCGGCACGACTCACCAGCGCTGGCAGATGGCCTAAAAATGGCCAAGTCCGCGGATAAAAAGGCCTATAATCCAAAATATACTTGTAAATTTGTAGGTTCCGGTGCAAAAATTAAAATTTCCTTTACCCCGTACTTTTTAAAATTTAATGAGGCTGTCCTGCCATCAAATTTTTTCCGACAAACGCAATTGAAAGAAACTAAATCGCTGAATTTATCCGGAAAAAGACCCCTCAACCCACCGGTGGTTCGTGCCACACTCAACGTGTTTAATTATTTAGTCGACGATATAGCCTGAACCATGGAAAGTATTTATTCCACTTTAACAAAGATTATTTTCTGTAATATATCCGCTTATTTAATCAATAATTCCAGAGGAAGGCAAGTCTATCGTACCATCTGCTGAAAATTTGGTTGATCTTGTGTGGGGGAATGACACTGAGAACCCGCAGCCTCCCTACAGCGACAGTCCAGCCATCATCTATCCCATCGAATATGCTGGTTAGAATATTGTATTTTGTAATATTTTATACAATATATACGAATATTTTATTATGTAAAATTCAATAGGAACTTAGTTAAGTGAAGTCTGAACGTGCATCAGTATTCCTTTTCTAATTCGGTGACATTTCCACCGGTTTTTTCTTTCACAAGTATGAATTACTGTAATCGGAAACTAAATAGTGTTACTTTTTCTACCGATTTGAATCTGTCCTTGTTCTTCCGCTCATAGTTCAAGTACATATGGAATTTTTGTAAATATTTTCATAGGTGATTTCTAAAGTCTTAATGAATGTGATGAAGAAGTCCTAATGCATCCACAGTGATAAATAAAATTTTTGCCTAATCCAGAATGTAGTCTCTGAAAATGGATGGCACCGTGAATAACACTGCAATCTTGGTGAAAATGAAATTAACAATGTATTTACATTTTCGATTCCCGAAGTTCTTATAAATGAGGCAAAGAAGTCGTTATACATTCACAATAAAAAATAATAATTTTCTTCGTCCAGGCCAGAATTTAACGGAAAAATTGTCGGAGGTGCGAAAAGCACTTCAAGAAGTCAACGCCGCGGCGCTGGTCGTGACGGCACTCGATGAAGTTGCTTGGCTCTACAACATCAGAGGCAACGACGTGCCTTACAACCCCGGTGAGAAGTGCTTAATTTCTTACTGTCCTGTGTAGCATTTGCTCAAAATTAAAATCAACCCAAGTGACGGGAGATGGTGTTACTATGAGAATTTCTTACTGTCGTGTGTAGCATTTGCTCAAAATTAAAATCAACCCCATGATCAACCCAAGTGAGAGATGATGTTACTAAGAGAACTTCTTACTGTCGTGTGTAAAATTTGCTCAAAATTAAAATCAACCCACGATCAACCCAAGTGAGAGGGGATGTTACTAAGAGAATTTCTTACTGTCGTGTGCAGCATTTGCTTAAAATTACAATCAACCCAAAATCAGCAAAAAAAAAAAAAATATATCAACCCAAGTGAGTGGTGATGGTGTTATTAAGAGAATTTCTTATTGTGGTGTTTAACATTTACTCAAATTAAAATTATTTGACTGCTCAAGTCACAAAAAATTAGATTAGCACTCACTGCAGTGAGCGACAGAGAGCGCATTTTCTCGTGCATAAATCAGTTGAAGTTCTTCTTTCCATGGCGCAAGAAAGACAAAGTCTTATATTAAGGACCTGAGACCATGACCTGGGTCATGTTATATATTTTAGGAAAGGCCAATCTTCAACCAATCTAAAACTATAATCTAAATTACGACACGTTTTAAAGTATTCTTAAAATCAACGAAAACGTGAAGACACGGCCGGACGGACGGACATGTCGAGCACAATAGCGCCTTTTTTTCCATAAATGAGAAAATGCGCAAAAAAGATAAAAAATTATAAGCAAAAACAATTCAACGACAGTTCAATTAATTTTATTTGAGAGTGTTTCTCGTGAAATGATTGTAAATTTTCTCTGCCTACAATCTATTTTTTAAATTATTTAATAGTTACGTTAATGAACCACGGTATGCTTGATGTCGATCTACCACTGTTATATTAAAATGTATACATCATGCCATCATGTCCATCTATCCCTGAATTTAAAGAGAGTATATGTGTTTCCAATACATTTTTATAAATTAGTAGGAAGCGACCGTAACTTATAATCATGCATGTACTCAATATTGTAATCCTATGTGCAGTGTTGCGTAGCTACGCGATTGTGACCGAAACGTGGGCGAAACTTTACGCAAACGGCATACAAATGTCAAATATCACTGATCAACTGACCGATGTTAAGTAAGTAGTTTAATGTGCTTCAGGACCTCATTTTTCTAACACAAATAATTTTAAAACACAAATAATATATCTCCAAAAAATTGAAATATATATTTATATACGTTTATTTTTTTAGCTATATCAATTGATTAATGCTAATGTGCACCCTGCTGATCTAATAAATTCAAGGCGCTTCAAATATCTCGATTTTTGCACTTAAGCATCAGCGATTACGAAGATATCTGGGCGGACCTCAAAGACCTCTCGGTTGACACTAGCATCGGAATGATATTCCTGCCCGGCAACGCTCGAGCGCCAGGCTGCTCGTTCGAAGTCTACAACACGGTCAGTATTACTAAATTAACTTAAAAATTTGTCTGAAGATGAAGAAAAATTCAATACAATAATTAATAATGTTCCTGCTAGCGGGGTTACAACGATAATAAAGAACATAACATAACATAGTGATCTCGGCGCTGAAGTGTGGGCCTGATGTGGCCTGTCGCCGATTCTTTTCCTTTTCGTGCCTTGTTCACAGAAGATCTAATATCGTTTCATTTGACCGGATCTTTTCATGACTGACGATAGTTTGAAATAGCTACTAGACTTCCACCGGGTTCGATATGGTGCTAGGCATTTCAAATCTGAACATATATTTTTCCATAGCTTTATCTAGTCTGTTCTTGAACGCGTTCATACTTGGAGGGCCAACGATATCAAAGAAAACTCCAATAAACAATGTTTTTATTCAGGTGATGGAAACCAAGCGTTATTTAGCGACGACTCCCACCCTTTTGAAGAAGGCAACGAAAAACCGGATAGAAATCACACAGATGAGAGAAGCTGTGATCAACGATGGCGTGGCTCTAACTCGCTTCCTGGCCTACCTAGAAGATCAGGTGGGTTCAAGCAGAGGTTTAAAACTAAAAAAATATAACTCAGTACTCACTGCAGTGAGTGACCGAGAGCGTATTTTCTCAAAATCGACGTATACGTGAAGTCACAGACGGACAGACAGACGGACGGACGGACGGACATGACGAGCATAATAGCGCCTTCTTTCCATAAATGAGAAAATGCGCTAAAACCATATAAAAAATTTAATTTTCATTCTACCTTTGAAGTATTGCAGTATAATTAGCATTCAGCCACGTATGCAATTTAATTGCATCGCGTATCTCATCATTGTCTCCAGATTATCTCTGGGAAGCAATGGACGGAACTTTCAGCCCAGAACAAGCTCGCCGAGTACAGGATGGAGGCCGGTGCTCGGGAACTCTCGTTTGCCACCATCAGCGGGTACGGCGAGCACGGCGCCATCATCCACTACGAATCCACGAACGAAACTGATGTCGCCATCGGCAATTCATCGTTGTACCTTCTCGACTCTGGCGGACAGTACTTTGGTGGGTTGTGTTATATTAAATTGCTAACTTTTATTCAAATTTACAATACAATATTTCTCACAAAATTTTTATTTGTGATCGTCTTTCGAATAGATAATATGTGTAACTCAAATCGTCTTTAAGAGACAGAACTTCTTGAAACACGAAAGCCAAAACCACATTTTAGTTTTTGTACAAGCATGATTATTTTTTAAATTTTGGTAAGACATCTTTCAGTATAAGACCTGAATTCATCTGTGTGACTGGTTGATAACGTTCATTTTTCGATTATACCTCACGGCCATTTATCAACTCGTATTTCCACACAAGGCGCAACAACGGACGTGACCCGCACGATGCACTACGGAACGCCGACAGCTGACCACATCGAGATGTATACGCGCGTCCTGATGGGTAACATCGATTTCGGGTCGCTCATCTTCCCGTACGGCACACTCAAGACACGCATGGATGTACTCGCTCGCAGGTTCTGTTGTTGTTGTAATTGCCCATCCTGGTAGTGGCGACTAGGTAAGGGAGGGGGTGATTGGTCAGTTTTTCCGGGCACCTAATGCCACTGGTAGTTATTTATCAACCAGAGTGCTCGCAGGTTCTCATCACCTCACGATACTTGAGGACGTGTGCGAAATAATTTTTATAGTCAATTTGGGACTGAAAATATACATTTCTATGTATTTAAATGTGTCGATCGAGTGAGCGATTGTGAGCGATAATCGAGCGATTAATGCACTGTGCAGAACATATCACATATGATGCATGCTATTTAAAAAGAAATTAAAGGACGAATGAGCGAAAGAAATTAAACGACGGATGAGTTCATATGAATAGTTATAAAGTTTGAATGCATCTGTACCGAGGTTTAAGCCTAACGCTTTGCTACGCGTTGACGTGACCGCGACACGTAGTTGTCTTAGGAGGTCGCGGCGCGTCAATCGGGCGCTTCTTGTGTCAACCTCCTACTGAAATACATGTGTGTGTCCCTGATCGTGTTTCACTGACTCGAAGACTGATACAGCATCGATAATAATAAAGCTGTCAATTTATTATCAGTCAAAATGAAATTAGTTAGCTTGTTATCATTGATTTCTTTCCTCCGCAACAGAGCCATTTGGAGCCAAGGACTCGACTATCGTCACGGCACCAGCCATGGCATAGGAGCCTACCTCAACGTGCATGAGCGTATGTTGATATCAATATGAGCTGCTTGTTCTATGGCTGAAAATATATAATTTATTTATCTCCACTGTCTTTCTTGTTTTAGGTAACACATGAGAATCAGCTTCTTGCAATTGCTTCATTTAATGAAATGTAATATTGAAAAATTGTTTTCAATACTTAAAAATTTGTTTATTTAAAAAAGATTTGTAATGTTACTAATAAATATTTTTATTTCAGCTTACTTGGACGAATTCCAGATCGGTTACGTCTTGTCCAATGGTAAGCAATGGTGAAGTATTCTTAAGTTGTACTCATAATGGATAAACTTATTTTGCTATACAATCAGTTCTCTGCTAACGCAAAATTTACTAGGTTCAGTTAAAGGATGCATGAGAGTGACTCGAAATAAATTTGTGTGTCGCTCATAACAAACTAAAATACAAATTAAGACAAAAATATAACCATCTGAAAAGTTTTTAACCTTATGTAGCAACATCTGTTTTTCCAGAGCCCGGATACTACAAAGATGGAGAGTATGGCATCAGGATTGAAGATCAAATGACCATTGTGGATGCAAACGTGAGTAGCCTGCACTTCTTCCAATGTTTTCAGCTATAACAACATAGTTGAACTGCTACCAATACAAATTAATGTTCTGTACATTAAACTTATTCAACACAAGCTGACCACTATAAATGTCACAGTGTACATCCCCATGGATTTTAATTAAATTGAATTCTTGTGAGAGGTTTTTTTGAGCTCGTCTCAGTACGTTTGTCGGTCGGTTATTAACAACAGCTGACGGTTGCCTCCACAAATTAATATCAACTAATGTTCCCTACGATATGCTAATATAGTTATAATTCACTAATGAATTACGTCATTAGCGATGAGGACGAGTCGTAAATTCACATCGCAACATAAACGTTTTCTTGTATTTTCCAGATGAAGTTTGACAAGGATTTCTACAAATTAGAAATGCTTACCATGGTGCCGTACGAACCCAAGCTCATCGACGTGAACCTCCTATCCGATGAGCAGGTATGACACTGGAAACTGAGGTAGAAAAAAAACGATCGGATTGTTGCCTGCTGTAGTTCACAGATCTCTTACTTGAATATTAAACCATAATCCATACGGGTACGCACACAGTGAAAGCAGGTTACCAGCGTGCTGGTTACCTGCTCAGGCTGGCGCCTGAAACCATAGAATACAGAAGCCTATTCGAACAGGTTTTCACTGTGAACACTTACATTATTATCCTATGTTCATTCTTGTGGCAGGTTGCCCGCGCGGGCAAACCTGCTTTCACTGTGTGCGTACCCTAATGGTATACGAGATAATACAGGATTCTGACATGTCTCCGCTTTGGTGTTTCACGACCTTACAATTTTCAGCTCGAGGTTCTGAACACGCGTTTCGCGAATATCAGAGCGACCACGGGAGTTAAGCTGCAGGAAGGCAACTACACAAGCGAGTACAATTGGCTTCTGCGCAAGACCGAAAATTTGACGCGTATCGTTGTAGAACAAATTGAAACAACGGACGGAGCAATCAATACCTACGCCTGCTGGCTGACACTCGTTCTTGCTGGCGTCGTATTACGTCTGCATTAACGTAGTTGTGGTGGTTCTGATTTACCAACACTCGCTACCATTTAGAGTAAACTGATCAACGTAAAATGTAGTTAAATAGGTATGTTCAAATTGTAGTGATGTTGATCATGTTAATAATCGGAGAAACAGTATTTTGATTGTATTATTGTAACACTTGCATTTTACACAATGTGTACCACTGCAGGAGGGAACGCACGAAAACAGGCGCCGAACGTATAAATCTGTTCGACTCGAAATTGGAAACTGGTAGAATACACTTTCATCATCGAGGGTTAGAAATTAAGTTCTTCAAACAATGTAATTGCACTTGTAAGAATATATTTACTGATGAATGCTTGGTCGTAGTACAGTCATAACGTGGCGATGAACAATTAACTGATTGCGATAGTTGATTCAATGTATAGATAATAGGTTATCTATTACTAGCATTATATTATACCTTCATATTCGGATGTCACGTAATTAACATGCTTACCTTGTCCACACTTATACGCAAATAGTTAATTAATAAAAATTAGTTTATTTTTATTGTTTAGTTAACCAGCTTCATCCATTGAACAGATCATGTATCAACAGCATTCTATGTTTCTATAGCACCGCCACCGTGAAAACGGACACGAATGTAAATTTTATCGGATGCCGTCAGCAGTCCTTTCTCATACATTACCACCACCGCATCGCTCAAAGACTCTGAAACATAGGCTACGGTTTGAACCACTAATCAACGCTGACCTCGAACATCATTACTCATCATCAAGAACATCATTACTCATCACCATCAAAGTTCGATTTCGCTTGGTTTCCAAAACACTGCCTAGTGGGAAAATGTCATCAGTTTTAGATTATGGCTATTTTATATCCAATGGCTTCAGCAATAATAATTCTTATAAATCTAACAATGATTAAAATAATCTCACAGCTTTCCGCATCATTAATCATTGTTACGTTAATTTTACATATTTAACCAAGTCTTGTTTTGTCCGCGTCAGGCTTTATATAATGAAAAAGTATGCGTACGTGACATGCTGATCTACCGTAGATCCAACATATCAGTGAAATCGGTGAAATCAGATTTTTCGTCATCACCCTGGTTCTTGGGTCGCTTCTCAAGCCTGTCACGCAATCTCTTCAATGTCCGCAGCCTACACAGCCAGTTGCCTGCATACGGCTCTATAGTTGTCAGCTGCTGGTCCACACGACACGCAATCTGTGGCAGAATTGTTATTTAAAATCTTGCATGTATTCTATTAGATAAAATCTAGCATGTAAAATGGTTATGGTTAAAGAGTAAAACAAAGTTTGACATTATTGCTACACAAAACGTTCAAAAGTATAATGGTTATGTTAAAGATTAAAACGAAGTTTGACTTTATTGCCTACACAAAACGCTCAGAAGTAAAATAATAACCAGCGCTTGTAATTCCCTTAGAGACCTCATCACCATCTTGAAGAGAGTCGCCCCTGGACGGGAAATCATCATTGTTGGACTGGTTTGATAATGGCATTAGGTTTGATCCTGCTCGACTAATTATGTTATTCATCAATATTTACGTTAGAAATATAGGATTTATCTAGATGATTGCATTTCCAACAGGCTATATTGGCAACACAACATTCAATAAATGTTAAATCTCACACGAGAAACTTACGGCGGAGTGGAGCGCCATTTGCCTCACGTAGAGTGGTAAGTTGGTGTCAGAGACCAGCCTCACGACCGGAGTGGTGGAGAGCAGATCACAGATCTTGCGTTTCATGTTTACGTTGACGGTGTTACTCTCGTGTTCCGCTGGCCTGATCTCTACGATGACTGTGTTGAACTGCGTCTGTAATTCATCCAGTATGTTGAGGGATGTCACAAGGTCCGAGACGGGTTACAAGTAAGAATGTTAAATAATGTTATAAATTAACATCAAAGACATTGATCTTATTACATCGTTGAATTAAGTTACTACTTTAATGGATAATATTCATGTGCGTTGGTAAATATTATTTTTCGCATTGAGTTGAGAACCTTGAATTTGTAAACCATAATTTAGCTGGAATAAGTAATAACGTGATCAATATGAACTAACGCGATCAATTTGAACTAACGTAATCAAAACTAACTTTAATGATGTCGCGGTCGTAAGGTTTGCCGCTCTCGTTGTAGACGATGGTGACGGAGTCGTTGCCAATGAGCCGCTTCTTGGACGTAAATTTAGGATCGTTCGGCTTGTTGGGCATCAGGGTAGCTACGTGGAAAGACACCTGATGGTATGAAATTAAAAATAAAAAGTCAACTTTACCACCTTTTAGAGACGATGGATCCACGGTAAATTCCTCGTTCATAGTGTTAGAAATGACAGTTGAAGGCGAGAAAACTGAAAATTCGACATGAATAGTATTTGCTGACATCGTGAATATCTGAAAACAGTAGTTCCTAAAAATGTTACCTAACTCGCAAGTCGAACTGAGATAAGTTTCAAATCAAGATTAGTAGTAGTAGGGGAGAGGTTTCTAGCGCTTCAGATCAGCTTAGTCTACAACAGATAAAGATGAATTGCAGAAATGTATTAACTATGTATGGAAAAGAGGGGTAAAATGATCACTTTCGTTAACGTTACGCTAGTGACCTGCATGATCTCATCCTGCCACACGTAACATTCGTCGCCATCGTCGCCAGTGTTGCTGAGGCCTGGCAAGAAGAACCCTTTAGAGGCTTTCTTCAGGGACACGACGGTGCCGAGACCAGACAAGAACTTCTGGTACCGCGACGATCCCACCGTGTTGCCCAGAATTTGCTGCTCTGTGGACTGACCGTAGCCCACGTATAGCACTCCAAGGCAGTGGTTCTCCAAGGGTGGCGTTTGATCCAGAACCTGGACGAGTGAAGTAAAAAAAAAAGTTTTCTCGAAGTAGAATTGGAGCAGTGAGTTGCGAGTTCGAGACCGCAACAAGCTGTGAATGTTCTACGATTCAAGAATCGGCGACAGGACTACGGCCTCATAAACGCTGAAACCGCTAATATACTAATTATAACCGCTAATATACTAATTATAACATTTATATAAATAAGGATAAACGAAAAAGATTCTCATAAATAACGAAAGAGAAAATAACAGTGTATTCAATACGTAATTTACATTTTTTGCGGTCACTATCCAAAGCAATATTAATTCAATAAATTATAATCCGATACTTTCTAGGAGCAACGTAAAATCTTATCAATAACAAAAACCAAATTCCTTTTTCAGTTTCATACACGTTATTGAAAATTCAGCCCAAAACCACGTGCACATGACACAAGATTCTAAAAATAAGTACGAACTTTTATGGTTCTCTGAAATTCTTCTTCAGAAGGGAGGAGCAAGGGACGATCGAAAGAATTCTCGACGCTCCCGGAGTAGAGAAGCTGCAGCAGCACGTTGCTGTAGAGATGTTATAATATATAATACAATACATGCAGACAATTCTATTACTGACGCTTATCCAGCCAATTCGGTAACTTGTAAATGATTTTGATCTCGAGACTCTACGAACAAAATAAATTCACTTCACGCTTTTCAATTCGGAAATTAACCAAGGAGTCAAACGATAATTTCTCCTAAGTTGACGAACAAAAATTCTGGACGAGAAAAGTAATTCGTTATCTTTTGACACGAGTTGTAAGCGAGTTTTATGCTTTAAAAAAACATGGTAACCGGAAACTAATGGCGGAAATAGCTGAAAATAGCTAGTACCACTATTCTGCTTTTCATCAATTGGTCAACTACATCGTAGAAAAAAGTTTTAGAATTATCTCAGAAAAAATTATTAGATTTATCCCAGAAAAATTTATTAGATTTATCTCAAAAATTTTTTAGATTTATCTCAGAAAAATGTATTAGAATTATCTCACAAAATGTTATTAGAATAATCTTAGAGAAAAAATTATTAGAACTATCTTCGAAAAGTTTTTAAAATTATCTCAGAAAAAGTTATTATATTTATCTCAGAGAAAGTTAGAATTATCTCAGAGAAATGTATTAGAATCATCTCAAAAAAAGTTATTAGAATTACCTCAGAAAAAGTTATTAGATTTATCTCAGAAAAAAAGTTACTAGAATTATCTCAGGAAAGTTATTAGAATTAAATTTTATAGAAAATATCCCAAGAAATAGCCGGCATACCTGGGCGTGACTCCACCCCTGGTATCGGTGCTACGCTGGCCAGACCGGACATCGTACGTGGTGGTGCCGGGCTGGGGGCGACTCCAGGGCTTGTCGAAGATCCTCTCGAGGTGAGGTTGTGTGGGGTACTTCATCGGCGCGAGGTTCATCACAGAGATGGTGTGGCCGCGACCCCGCCGTATGGGCGCCAAGGCATCTGAAAGAAAAATGTAACTCAGTACTCACTGCAGTGAGTGACAGAGAGCGCATTTTCTCGTCGACGAAAACGTGAAGTCACGGGCTGACAGACAGACGGACGGACAGACGGACATAGCGTGCACAATAGTGCATTTTTTTCATAAATGAGAAAATGCGCTAAAGATACACCATGCTTTAAAGACGTCCATATTAATAATAAACTTATGAGGATAACACCATCCGCTACAATGGCACATAGATGGTGAGAAGATCAAGAATACAATTAGACGTTTCAATTCCAAGATCAGAAATTGATTAAAATCAGGAACCATTTGTAATTATGAAAAAATGGAATAAAAATAAAATAGAGACAATGTCATTCTGAGCTCAATGTCCATTGTGTAGCATTTTTATAAAGGGCAAAATTGAACGCATACAAAAAATATAATTTCTTTACCAACACTCGTTATTGGATTCTGAAACCGATACAAATGTACATTGAGTAGACTCGGCTGATTATTATTGATTAATTTTATTATAATAGTGATTACTGATTAGTATTTATTAATTCAGAATATGAGGAGACATGAGTGTGAACCGCCAACAGAGAATACCACTGAGTGATAGGTTGCACACTTACCCTCTTCCTGCGAGCGTGATGCCTGATTAGACGTCACCACGCCCCCAAGCGACGATACGTTCGGCTGACTTGTGCTGGTTGTGCTCTGACAGGATAAAAGTACCGTAACTAGTTTTACAAATGAATCAGGTGAGTACAAACTTGGGGCATTAAGAAGAGTATAATCTTAGTACTCAGTTTACAGGTATAACCTCGACAAGACGGTAGAAACCAGGATCCTCCCAATCTATTGGTCTTAATAAATGAAAAAACTGGTGTATTTTTAAAGCAAGTTAAGCTTTATGACACATCAAAAAGTTTTTGAAGTAGAGTAAAAACGTCTCAGAAAATATTCATCAGTTTCGCCAAAAATAATTTCCTAGCTACACTAGACTGACCACTAAGTACATTAAGCGGCTGATCTTATTAAATTGATTTAAGTACATTGCTGATCCAAATACATTATTCGGCTGCTCATTACTTACAGAAGAGAGAGCCGAGGAGTGTCGAAGCCTCTTGACGTCAGCAGGAGCAGCGACGCCAGTAGGGCTTGTAGCTCCTGATGAAATATTGCCAGAGATTTTGTGCAAGTACGAGTTGACAATGCCAATGTGCTTACGAAACTTAGACGGACTTTGCGTCGCGTTGGTCTGCGGTGAAGTTTTGTACGTGGGACTCTGAAGAGTAAGCGGGGAAGAAGTTGACTTGTATGACGGAGTCGAGGCGTCCAAAGGCGGGGAAGAACAGCACGCGCCATCTTCTGTGGGACTCTGAAAGCCTTGCGGAAGTTCAAGAGGTGTATGGGTGGCACTAGCGGCCGCCAAACGAGACAAGGGAGAGGCGACCTCCTTGTTCGGCAGCGTCGACCGGGCGGTGGTAGACCCTCCAGCAGAATGCAGGGCATCGGACGATTGTGGAGCAACAGAGTCGGAGCCAGGTTCAGGAGACATCGCATCATCAGCAGACTTGACTACAGCTTCATTGTCGATGATCTCAGGACTAGAACAGCTTCTTTGCACAGCCGTCGGGGAATTCCCTGAGGGACTGACGGTTTCGATATTGCTTGAAGCAGCGTGACCTGAGAGTAGTAGTGCAATTAGTTATTTAGTATTTATTATTTAATTCTTTATTTTAGTAGTATTGCAACTAGTTACTAGTTAAATTTTAGTTTAACTTTAAATGTTTAAAACTCAATCAGAAACGACCGCATGCCGTTGTTAACTAAAAAAGAAAGCACATCAAACCAGGAAATTATTGACCATAATAGTTAATAAAGTTTAGTCAATTTGTCAGGCAACTATTCCAGCACAAAATATAAAAATGCCAGAACTATAATTTATCCGAGAATTGAAGATTTTTACCAATTAAAAACTATATTTTTAGTATAACAGATGACATTGAACAAAACTGCTAAAATAATTGGGACTAATGATATGACAATGATTTTTGAAGAAATCAACAAATTTACCAATTTCGCACTATACAAATGAATAGACTGACCAGACGCTATGCGACGCGACGGACCGTCTGAAACGGATGCCAAGTCTGGAAAATAAAATTGAATAATCACACCGGGAAAATTCACATCGATGAAATCAAGAAATAACAGGGTTTTACTTACAAATGGGGTTTATAAATATTGTTTCATACTGGCCAATTAATTCCTTCTGGAATAAAATGTAGCAGCAAAGGAAGAGAAAGGCCGCCAAGCAAAAACCAGAATTCTCAACTGTTGCATTGATGTAGAAATTCTCGATTGCAAATCAGTCAAATTGAATTTTGAATTGCTTACCAGAATGTCAGATCCAAGTTTTACCTATTCCAAGGTAAATGTATTTGTGTCGTACTTAATATCAACATGAGGTAGAAAATTCGTTCATTCAACAGCTCCCTTTAAACATCTTCATGATAATCGACTACATGAATTATCTTCATTATAATTCTACCCACGCGTGATATTGGTGTCAGAGCCTCTCCTGTAGGTCCTCCCGAGCTCCGTGCTGCCAGGGAGGACATGCAGCGGCGTCAGGAGCGTCTCCAGCCCGAGGTGAGAGGGCTTGGGTGTTATGCTAGGGCCGTACAGGGAGCACAGGTCATCCATTGACAACTGCTTGCCTTCCTCCAGAATTTGTTGATGGTTTTGCAGACGCATCATCCACACCATGTTACCTGCAATAGGACGACATTAGGCATCAAAGTTCCAGACATTGTGTTAGCATTTGTTCTCAATTAACTCTTCATTACAATATTTCTTGAATCGCGAACATATAAATGAAAACTCTTTTATATATTCGAGGTTTGACGAACAAACTATTCATTAAATATCAAACACACGCATTGTATCAACAATTATCCTACGAGGTGGCTAGCCCGCAGACGCATTACGATGAATATGAAAAAGAAAAATCCTCTATATATTGGAGGCTTAACGTGCAAACTACTCATTAAATATCATACACACGGATTGCATCGACAATTTTCCTAAGACTAGACTAGCCCGCATACGCGTTACGAGGTCGGCAATTTTTCTAAGAAGAGACTAGGGCGTTAGAAGAGACTAGGGCGTTAGAAGAGACTAGGGCGTTAGAAGAGACTAGGGCGTTAGAAGAGACTAGGGCGTTACGAGAAGACGCCTTACCTGTAGGCTGCCTGACGTAGACCTCAGCGTATCCGATGCACCAGCAAGTGCACAAATGATGGTCTCTCAGAGCCTGCTGACCACTGCTCGACTGGCTACTTGAATCCTCGTGTGTTGGTATATTTGATGTCGGTCGAGAAGATTGGCTCGTGTCATCTTGTGATGATTGGGTCACCAGGGCCCGAGAGGAGAATGCACCGCTATCATCTTGAAGTGATTGGCCAGCAGAAGTGAGAGATGACTGGCTGCTGCTGTCATCGCGCTCTAACTTAGTGTTGGACCTGTATGGCTTGCCTGTTTCGTCGAGGTTTAAGGCATTAAATTACATTTTGAGGAAACGAAGAGGCATGGATTAAATAAAATAGAATCTCATGTTTCCTCAGAATAAAAATAATGTCTCTGTATTTAGTTGTTAAATGCATTCATTATTCAGGAAAGGAGAAGGCACGTGAAGAATAAACGCAAATAATTTTTGAGTAGAAACGTTCATTAAAATTATTCTGATTCAAGCACCCATAATATGTCCATGATTTGTAGTAAAATTGTGAACCGCAATATTGCTCGAATGATTTCACTACTACAAAACTGTTAGCAATTCAGTGTTCTAACCTTCCGAATTGGTAGAACTGGCAGCGCCGCGAGTCGCTTTGGTGTCTCCCTGAAAACAGGGAAAAAATGAATGCTAGTAACAATCAAAGCAAATACAGTGGGGGGAAATAAATATTCGTACACTTGAAAAATCGTATTTTAATGTATGTAAGTACACAAACTTAACAGGAAAAGTGATTTAAATTATGTATAGAGACGCANACCTGAGGACGTTTGTACGCAACAGAGAACATTTTAAAGTTGTCGTACGTGGCGGCAACCATCAGTGCAAGTCATTTTGCGCTCACTAGAACGTATCCTTTTTGGGAAGTAGGCGCGTGACAATATTGCTCCGGTTACTCGTGTCAAGCGGTGGAGGGTTAATTGCAACAATTCAATAATCTGTAAAGGAAGAGTCCCTGCAGCTAACTCGGTTTTGATTGACCACACTTGACTACTAAGAACCGACCTATCATAAGTTAGAACTTACCGCAGCATCAAGAGTGAATCCAGGTTCTTTCGATCGGGTCTCTGTAAACCGAAGACATCATTACCATTAACTTCCCATAAAAATAGTTAAATATACAACTTCAAGTTGATTACCAGAAAAAATAATTAAATTTACTGAATAAAACAAAAGTAGGGAATTGTTAAGTTCTGAGGAAAGTATCGATAGCAACGAGTCTAAAAAATGAAATAACTCAAATTAGTGGAAAATCCGATTGAAATAAAAAGCATAACATTAAAGTCACACAATTCACGATATTACTGTGAAATTCAGGTGATCTGACTTGCCAAAAATGAGGCCTCTAGTTAAGCCTTGCGCTCAACAATTTTAGACCTCTAATTAAAAGACCTATAATTTGTCGAGTCCTTGTAACTTGATATAATTATCAATGATACATGACATAATGCTGAAGTCCTTGTCTATTATTGACATCACACTGCGGCGTGCACACTCTGAGAAATTACCAAGACTTTTGTCTTTTTTGTCAAGACTTTTTTGTCTTTAGAAATAGAGACGAACTTCTTGTCTTTGTATGGGTCATTGAGACCCAGTTTGCAAAGCAAAAGGCCGTATCAATGACAAGTGCTAGAAGTGTGTCACAAAGTGTGTCCAAATAGCAATGTCACGGCCGCGCTGGCCTTGACATGGGATGAAGATACCCCTGGTGAAAGTGTGTGGGTCTTCCCGAGTCCTGACCCAGTTTGACAAAGCAATAAGGCGTATCAGTGATAAGTGCAAGTAGTGTGTCACCATTCGGACAATACGACTCCTTTATTTCTCCGACGGCACACGGCAGCAGCACCTGCAGTAGAGACATCTCACCGAGGAGGTCCTCGCAGTGGACGTGGCAGTTCTCACAAAGACCAGTGGACGTCATGGGGCGGTGGGAGCAGCCGGAGGTCGTGATGGTGAAGAGCTTGAGGCCCACCAACCAAGTTTGCTGCTGCCCGGACCCTACCAGAGCCTCGCCAACCTCTGATCTGTAATCAACGTTTTCGAAACTTCAGGAAAAAAAAAGTATAATAAAACAATTTCAGGATTAATTCAGGCAAAATTAAAACCGATAATGTCATTAAAACTATCGATGACATTACAAAACAACCGAAGTTGGTGAATATTTCTTCATTTGAACTTCCGATTGCACTAGACTTGGTTTCAAATCCTAACCTACTTGGCTAGAATTTGAAGACACTGCCAGGTGAGAAAGAAAGAGCTCTAGTGAAGAAGGGAAAGAAATGAAAAGCTCTAGTGAAGAAAGGAAAGAAAGGAAGAGCTCACCTGAAGACTTAACCCTCACCTGCGGGCCATAGGTGTGCAGGAGGCGAAGGTGTATCGGGACATGAGATCTGTGAGAGTACGACACATGTCGTCGTGCAGCTTCATGAACACCTCCAGCCGCTCAGGTGTTAATCCCTGCACGCAAAACAGTCATTGACATTTCAGAACAAAATAAAAACAATACACGCTATCTATTTTAACCATAATTCAAAATTCAAATTATAAAAGAACCACCGTCAAGTAATTGAAGTAAGAAAACTATGGCAAAAAACCATGCTTACCTACACAATTGGAAATTAGTAAAACATTGTGCTACAGCATGCCAAGGTAACATAGCTAAGTCGAAAAAAGCTAATTAACTCCGAAGTTTCTTACCTAGATAAACGGAATGGATAAACCGACTCTAGAAGAATCAAGCTAGAAGCAAGTGCGCAGGTTCAAGAGCGCCAGTAGATAAAATATAGAAGCTAGGTAGAAAAAGCACCATTGATTTCCTTTGAGCACCATTGACGCTAAAGCAACATGAAGAAAGAGAAAAGGAACCATGTAAGAAAGGGTAACATAAAAATCCGCAGGACACGGCTTTAGAAGAAGCCTTACGCCTCAATATCGAAGCTAATCCAGAAGTTTTGAATGAAAAAGAAGATGAAAGCCTCATACATGGATTGAAATTCAATCCAAAATGGATCGAAGTTGGATTGAAATTCAATCCAATTACCAAAATGGATTAAAATTCGGTCCAAAAGCAAGTGGAAATAATTGAGAAGGGTGGAAGGTACAATTTTTCATCTGTATCTTTATAGGAAAAAAATCAAATTAGCCATTACATTCTGCTCATCCAGAAATTTTCTTAGAGTATTGCAGCAGGGGAGTCGGGGTAATATTGTTAGTTGATATTTTCAGATTAATTGTTCCTGCAACGAGGTTAATTGTAGTTTCCAAGCATTTTATTTTATACGTTATCTGTTAGTACCAGGTTGCTCCGACGTGAACCGAAGTATAATTCAAGGTGCTTCAATGCTTCATAACAAGATAGAAAGCACAAGTGCACATAGATAGATACCTATGACCGGTGTGTGCAGAGGGCGATAATTTTACGATAAAAGATAACCTCTCGAGACAGTCAAATGATTTTAGGTTTAATAGAATCAATACATGATCGGAAGAAGTGCACGGCAACGAAAGAATCAGGACACTGGTAAAGCCAACATTACAGAGCACAGAGGGAAGTCAGATGCCTCAGCCAATGAAGTCTCGGCAACAGAGTCAGGGTCAAGAGACTTGCAGCGCTTGGCGGCTTGCGAGCGCATCCATGTTTTGGCAGGACCCTTGCGCTCCGATAGCGACTTTAAGAGGAAATTTTGCCGGGTTAAAAAATATGCTTCCACAAAAAAACTACAGCAATTTGCCGCGCAATTTGGCATATATGATAAAATCAACGGAATTAATGGACAAGAACTACAAACAACAAGGAGTAAGTAATGAAAACACAAACTAGGAATGTAAAGAGGATAAAAAGTGGCATTTTTAAATTCATTAAGCAAGCATTCAAACTTATTCTTGACATTTTGTTGCTTGATTCAAGAGGCAAATTTCCAAGCAAACTGATCGCTACAAACGACCAACAAATGAACGAGCTAAGTGCAGTCGTGCAGCCATTTGAGAAGTGATGGACATGCACACTGAAGTACTCAAAAATAAATATCTTAGTATCAACTTCTACACCAACATAGATTAATACTAGATACGTTCTTGGGGTTAGAGATGAACACCCACTAATATACAAGATAAACAATTCCTCAAAGCACTACCTGATCCATAGATTAATATAAGATACGTTCTTGGGGTTAAATATAAAAACCCACTAATATAAAAGTTAAACAATTCCTAAAAGCACTACCTGATCATGGAGACTGGCGCTACGTCTGCGCTGAAGACCATCCTCGGGCCCCAGGACATTCTTGAGGTTCTTTGTGATGAAATTGACGAATTTGCGGCGGCTGCTGATTTTGCACTTGAGGAACCACATGGCTAGTACATGGAAGGACAAGATCACCACATACTGGTTGAACTTGATAGGGTTAGTGTAGGGGATGACGATGGCGAACACAGCCTTGTATTCCTCCGACGAGAAGTTGCAATAGATGTGGGGCAGGTGAAGCAGCGCTGCAAAATGCAAATGACTCAAAGTAAAAGCAAAACATGGTAAATGAACCAAATATAAAGTCGCTAGCGAATGCGGGGTGGTTTAAGCAATGCAAAACATGGTTTAAGCTCGTCTCTATTCACGATTACGATCAAAAATAAATACGTTTTTCAGGCTATCTGTAGAAACATAAAGCTCTCGTGAAATAACACATGAAAGATTCTAGAACTCACTACTCGGCTCTACAGCGAGAGAGAAGTTCTACTCGGCTCTGTCACAAACTTGTTAAAATTGTGGCAAGTTTGTCGAGAGTAGCATTTAAAAATAGAATTAAACGTAAACATAATAAAACTGGATCGTATATGCATGTTGTATAGCTTGGTTAAATTGAACAACTACCGCAACTGCTATCGCTTCATATCAGGTTAGTTCCCGCCCACTGTCAAGTTTAACATCGAAACTAAGAATCAGCAATATGAGTGGCTTTCAAAATTAAGGATATCATTAACGAATATATATTTCTTTTATGTGTAGCACAAAGGAATTAGTGGCATAATCAACTATTGCAATTTATTAGAAAACTAATCCTGTAAATCTTGCACAGCTTAGTGTGCAAGTTCCAAAATATGATCTATTTTTCACTTGTATATATAATTATTTAGAATTAATCCATTATATCCCAGGTATTAAGCGATTGACTTCCAGTTTGCTTCAGTCTATCATATCAGGTCCGCCGCTGTCACGCGAGCAGAATTAGTTTCAACATCAGAATAAATTTAATCAGACGAGACCGTAAGACTCACTGGACAAGAACTCGAGCACAGGCTGGGAGCTATGCACGGTAGCGGATATTTTGGTGAGAGAGTGCAGGATGTTAGACAAACTCTTGACCATCGTGTTGGGCATCTCGAGGCAACACAAGGTGAGGGCTGCGATGCAGACTCCCCCACACTTGTTCACCTTCATACCGTTCGTCAAGCACGAGACAACCTGAGAAAAAAACGTGTCAACTACACGCAATGCATTCAGAGCTGCGCGTCGTCGAATTTTATCATTGTTTAATCATATTTAGAAGGACGAAAAATGAAAACGGAAATGTTTAGATAAATAGAAACCATGGTGTCTACGTATTAAGTTAGGTTTATAAATGCTCAAAATGCAGTAAAAAATTTTAAACATCAGATGAATTAATAAAAAGATGAAACACACCTTCTGTTGCCACTGTTGAGAAAGCTGAGTCTTATAGCAAGAGAGGCAGCTGAGCGCAATATAAACATATATCTCGAAGTCGACCCTGAAGAACTTCTCAGGAGTGTTGTAGAGCGAGGCAGGTAAATTGAGCGAGCGATCAGTGATTAATCCGGTCAGAGCTTCGGCGAAATAATCAATGTCATTGCTGTCACGGGAGACAATGAGCGACTTATTCTGTAGCATCTTCGGAATACCTTCGAGGATAACCTTAAGTAAAGTCCAATCTTTCTCTCTCTTCATGGCGACGATGACCGTAGCTGCTGCTTCTGACAACGACAAGTAGGTGATAGGGGCAAGGCGTTGAGCCTCTTTCCAGGGGTCATTAGTCACAGGCAGAGAAGGAATGATTAGTTTTCCGTCGGGTCCTTCCATTCCCATCTGATAGAACAACATTAACAGCTCGTCAATTGACACATCTCCTTTCTTGCTTTTCTCGGAATCAGGGCTCTTGATGGCACTACCAGGAGATATCGTGGAGTTATGTAGAAGGGAGTCCTGGCGCTGTTCTTCAGCAGTTGGAGAGGGCATGATTAGACTACTGTCTTCCTTAACGATATCAGCGTTGAGACGAGCAACGAAACTAATATCCTTGAGTGAAGAATCCAGAGTGCTCTGGTTTAGAGTTGACTGAAAGTCTGGGCGGTCGTGACTGGTATTATTTGAACTGGAATCAACAAATTCTGGTGTTTGATTGAAAGAATCACCAGCTGAGATGTTTTCTTGAGGCTTTCTGCAAGTCGTGGATTCGGAAACATTTTGGGATCGATTCAAAGGTTCGGTAGTAATGGGTCGACAATCGGCCGCTTCCTCGACCTTGGGCGACTTTGCAGCGCTAGTATTTGAAGAAACACCATTGGCTTCAGGAAAATTTACTTGAGATTGCGAAGAAACATTCCCATTCGACTGCGGCGACAGGTTTTCATTCGTCTGTGGCGACACGTTTCCATTGGTCTGCGGCATAACTTTCTCTTGGGTATTCGTAGCAACTTCAGCAGCAGGTTGCAGACCACGTTGATCGATGTTCGTTTCCGAATCAGAACTAGAGTCGAGCAGCGAGAGATAGGAAGCGTTTGCTAGCTTGCTGCCGTGCTTGTGGTCGATGATGATGTAGGGCGTGTAGCGCGGGTAGAACGAGTTGTCCATGAGAGGAACGGCCGGCAAGCCGTAGCCGAGCTGAGCATCTTCCACGTCTGGCATGCCGATCTCGTAGCGTTCGTTCGCGCGCAGTTGGAAAATCAATCCCAGGATCTGCCAAGTTGAAAAGTTCATTGAAAATTGCACACCAAACTTGGATACATTGAATCTACATACTTGTGCAATTCTCAAACGAATGTTCGATTTAAATTCAGCCCAGTGAGTTCATAGGAGGTATTAATGAAAAGATATTTTAAATAAATCAAAAGGTATTTTATAGGGTATGAAGATGTTAATGTATTTATGAAAAGCATTATATTAAGGGCAATGCGTAATTAAGTACATATATGAATAAATGCTCTATGTAATGTTATCTCTATATACAAATATATACAGCGCTAGCGCCCTCATTTGTGAGATTGTGAAAATGTTCGAGTTGAAAAAAAAAAATTCAATAACAGTGATTAAAAGCGACCAAGCCTCTATAATAAAACTGAAAATAAGGATCAAGATAGGTAACATTTAGCTGACTTATTAAAATTCAAGTACTCCATTCAGGGTATGATTTTTTGACCATGGAAGTCAAATTGTCTATAAATAAAACATAATTTAACGACACCATTCATTCATTAATTCATACACCATTCATCCATTCGTTAATATACACAGAATAATACCACCAAATAAAGAGTACAAAAGATGATGAGAGTAAAGACTAACCATTTCTAAAGCGATGAAAAATAATGACAAACCTTCCTCCTGACTGAAGGTAAGTGTTTGAAGAGCGCTGGGTTGGCGTAGTGGTATTCCAGGAAGGTGAGCATCGCCTTAAACGCCATGATGGCATCAGATGAAGGAAGATGCCACATCCGTCGCTTGAAGATCTTGATGAGCCAGTCTACGGCCATGACCACATCACAGTATGGGTCACATTTGCCTTCCTCACAGGCCGACGTATCAGTCAAGGAGTTCGACTGTGATTCGTCACCAGCTTTGAACTTGTCCACGGCGTTCAAGTTAGAGCTGACCGCCGCGTCGACACTTTGGTTGACGTCAGAATTTAATGGGGCCTCTGAATTAACGGTGGTCATGTCACCAGCTGCAGGTGATGCTAGACACTTCTTGAATGGATCCACCACAGTCTGCAAGCCAAAACAATCTAGTTAGCAATTCTGCAATGAATATCTTCCTTTTGAGCAAATCAATTCCTGTTATGTTTATAAGAAGTAAAGTACTGCCATTCTTTGTTCCGTAGAATGCATCACTAGCCACTTCACACAGAAATTCCATTCGAAGTGGAACAATCAGCGCCGTGCTTGCAAACTGTAATCCTTGTGTCGGCAGTCCTTGTAATTCAAAATCAACGACACTCCAGAGTTACGAGAGAATTACTAATTACAAGTCGATGATGCTTACAAAGACCAACAATCATCAATAATTGTAATCGTAAATACCTGTACGAGGAGCTTAAGGCACTTTGTGAGCACAGGATGGTTGTGCTCGAAAGCAACAGTTCCTAAAAGTTCCACGACAGCACAGCGGATGGCGAGAGGCTCGTGACGGTACTCGGCCACCGTCGGCAGAATGATGGCCTCCACCACCTCGGTGGCCCGCTTCTTCCTGAAGTGAAGAAGGTAATTAAAAACAGTTCAGCATGGCCTCCACCATCTCGGTGGCCCGCTTCTTCCTGCAGTGAAGTAGGTAATCAAGAAGAGTTCAGCATGGCCTCCACCACCTCGGTGGCCCGCTTCTTCCTGCAGTGAAGAAGGCAATTAAGAACAGTTCAGCATGGCCTCCACCACCTCGCTGCAGTCCTCATGTAAGAGAGCAAAAATGCTAATGAATTGAAAAATGAACTGGTTGCGCAATAAAATCATTTAAAATTTGTTTGCCCTATATATAAATATGAATAGAATGAATTCGATTCCTTCCAGGACGTCTCGTAGAAGTATCTCATCGCAATCAACCTGCATCTAAAAATATCTTCAAGTAGATAAACATGATTTATTGTATACGCCTACAGAAATTGCATCTGCATGATTTCAAAAGTATCTAAATCATGTAGAAATATCATGTGTACATGCACAACTATCATGTGTACATGTAGAACTATCATGTGTCCATGTAGAACTAACATGTGTCCATCTGATCGCAATCAACAGTCTCCGTAGAACTTTCTCATCGCAATCAACCTAGGGATTTCAATGGCATAAGACCTACCCTAGGTTCCTGACTGCATTGTTCATGGAGGTGATGGCAAGTTTCCTGATGTTGAGTCGCTGGTCGTGGCAGTAATGCTGCACCAGCACGGCGCTCAGACGCTGCAGCCAGTCGTCCTCCTTGCTGTCCAACGCATCACGCGTCAGGAACTCAATCACGTCATTTGCTGAACTCTCCTGCAATAAGAAAATACATACAATTAATATATTTAGACGAGTCAAATTCGAATAATGTTACGGCTTTGAAATAATTTTAAATCTTAGTAGTCTTAAAGCAGATATCAACAAAAAAAAATTCGAGGATTTGACACACGCATTCAGAGAATGAAGACTAAATTAGCACAACTCAAATATTAGAGATCTGGGATTTTCGTTGCACAAACAAAATTCATTAATATAGTTAGAAATATAGCGCTGAAATTAAATGTGTCTTCTAGAGCACACGATCGTGATATATATTTTGAACTAATAAGGAGCCGTGTAGTAATAAAATTATTTTGGTAAATAAATCCAGGCACTCACACTTCTGAGGACGGTAAACGGTCTAAGGAAGTTGAAGAAAGTCTCTCGCCTCACGCAGAACTGGTCTTGTTCTTTCAGAGTCTCCATATAGTCTACGGAGTCATTCACCACGTTCAGGATGGCTTGTCCCTTGTTGTTGTCGTCCAAAGACACTGTAAGAATAGACGTTTAAAATTTTCACCAAAACACAGCATGGTAGTCAGGCATCTGAAGTTGTGCAGGAAAAAAAAATTATACAATACGAGAGATTTGGATTGCAATTGCACGGTCTTTGGCGAAATGACAACGTTTTCAAAACCAGAATTAAAATCAAGTACCGTAAAATGGGGTAACTTAGACCACTTTTTTTCTTATAAATGATGCCATTTTCTTACTAGCTAAATTAAACTTGAATTGAAACATGCAAAATATACTTTAGCTTCACTCACCATAAATTGCTGGCTCCTGCCTCTCATAGTCTTTGTCAAATAGTTTTTGAGTTGTGGGGGTTTTTGTAAAAAAAACGAAAAGTGGTCTAAGTTACCCCGCCGGTCTAAGTTACCCCATTTTACGGTAAACAGACTTCTATAGGTTTACATTTAAAATTATATAAAATAGGATATGCTTAAGGAATTTCAACACTGTTCAATGTGCAATATTTTATCAATATAAATACTACACCAGAATGCATACTTCAATATAAATTGACGTCCACAGCCGAGTTTAATACGGGAGACCGAAAATGTTTTAATATAAATATACGCGCTATTTTAGGGTTTAACTGACGGCAGAAGTTGTAGAGGTTGGTAACGATGGAGAAGACAGTCTCCCAGGCTTGGGGATGTATCTCCGCACCCAACTTCCCCACCAGGAGCTTTATAGCGAACGCCACCTCGTACACAATCAGCTCGTTACTGCTTGTACTCGCCTGGAAGGTAATGCAGCAGGTGTAAGTAATCTTGTATGTCACTGCTACAACGGTACCTCAAGATAAATCCTTGAAAACAATGCTATGACAACACACGAGTCCATAATACTGAGAATAATGAGCCAGAATAGTGTTGGCACAAGAGAATAATGTTGGCACGAGCCAGAATAGTGTTGGCACGAGCTAGCCAGAATAGTGTTGGCACAAACCAGAATAGTGTTGGCACAAGCCAGAATAGTGTTGGCACAAACCAGAATAGTGTTGGCACAAGCCAGAATAGTGTTGGCACAAGCCAGAATAGTGTTGGCACGAGCCAGAATAATGTTGGCACGAGCCAGAATAGTGTTGGCACAAGCTCAAGATAAATCATTGAAAACAATGCTGACAACACACCGAGTCCAAAACAAAGTGACAACACACCGAGTCCACACTACTAAGCACACTGATTCAAAACAGTGTTAGCATGAGTCAGAATAGTGTTGGCGCGAGCCAGAATAGTGTTGGCACAAGAGAATAGTGTTGGCACAAGAGAATAGTGTTGGCACGAGCCAGAATAGTGTTGGCACGAGCCAGAATAGTGTTGGCACAAGAGAATAGTGTTGGCACGAGCTAGAAAATAGTGTTGGCACAAGAGAATAGTGTTGGCACGAGCCAGAATAGTGTTGGCACGAGCCAGAATAGTGTTGGCACGAGCCAGAATAGTGTTGGCACGAGCCAGAATAGTGTTGGCACGAGCCAGAATAGGTATTGTAAGTACGAGGACCTAAGCCAGTATAATAGTACAAGTGTGAGAACCAACAGCAGTCTACCTGAAGGAGTACAGGCAGAGCGAAGTGGAAGGGCACGTCGAGGGTTAAGACAGGGTTTGGCCCCCACAGGGCGCTGTGCAGGAAGTAGACGCAGCCACGGATGACGTGAGGGTCGCGAGGCTCGGTACTCTTGATCACGTCACAGATCGTGAAGAGCGCTGATACGCCCAGGTATGTACCGAGGATGATCCGCATCAACTGCCAACAAGATAATAATCGTTAAGAGCGTTGAAAATAATCGTGGAGAGGTAAAAAATAATCGTGGAGAGCGCTAGAAATAGTCGTGAAGAGCGCTAGAAATAAATGTGGAGAGCGCTAGAAATAGTCGTGAAGAGCGATAGAAATAAATGTGAAGAGCGATAGAAATAAATGTGGAGAGCGCTAGAAATAAATGTGGAGAGCGCTAAAAATAATCGTGAAGAGCGCTAGAAATAAATGTGGAGAGCGCTAAAAATAATCGTGAAGAGCGCTAGAAATAAATGTGGAGAGCGCTAGAAATAGTTGTGAAGAGCGATAGAAATAATCGTGAAGAGCGCTAAAAATAATCNACCTGTCTCTTATACACATCTAGATGTGTATAAGAGACAGGCACTAGAAATAATCGTGAAGAGCGGTAAAAATAATCGTGAAGAGCGATAGAAATAATAGTGAAGAGCGTTGAAAATAATCGTGAAGAGCACTAAAAATAATCATGAAGAGCGCTTTAAAATAATCGTGAAGAGCGCTGATACGCCCAGGTATGTACCGAGGATGATCCGCATCAACTGCCGGCAATAGAAGTGTTTTAATGGTAGGTATGTTTTTGGCTATAATAAATGGAAATTATTTGACATTGCAACATATCGTGAAAAAAAATTCGAAGAATGTAGTTCGCTACAAAAATATATTTTCTAACGAGACACCTTAGATAAATGAGAGATTAAGTAAACAAATAAGGATAATAACTAGCAAATATCTATTAGTGAACATCTGATCTGAAATTTTTTTTAAATATGAGCTCCAGAGAGCGCATGCATTGGACACCGAACTCCTAAACCACAAAAGAAATATATAGACAGAATTATAACACAAGTTTCAGATTTGTTCAGAAGTTCACCTTCCAAGCTCTCTGGGAGTGAGCTGGTATGCTGACAATCCTGGCAAGAGTGGCTACGATGGCCTTGACCATAACACTTGGCAGATGGCAGTAGGCTACCACAGTCTCTATTGCCGTCAAGCAGAGTATGCCTTCATCTTCGTTCATGGTCGTGTTCATGTGCAACACTGTTTGTCTGTTAGGGGTAAAGTGTGAGCGATTAGTAAGACATCAACATAGTTTATCTAACTGAATTTAAACATTATCTGTCTCCTGACTGCCGGATTTGTCTGAACTTCGAGATAGTAGTTTTCAGAGTGATTTTTCTGGTTTAAAATTTTACTATAGTATCCTACTTACATACATTATGGACATATTTCCATTAAAATTTCAATATTTAATGCTTCTTGCAACTTGAAAATGAATGTTTGTTGCATACAAAACGTCGTTAATAATAATAAACTAAAACTACCTCCGAAAACTTGTCTTTTGATCTACCAACATCATCTGAAGAATTGTCCGACTCTCTGATAATTTAAATCAAGAAATTTTCTGGTCATTAAAGGCACAAATATAATGTAACAGGATATGAATATGAATTGAGAACTGCACATAGCACCATGGTCCAAATGATAGTACCAGTGCTACAGAAAATTGAATACAAATGCATTTCTTAATAAACAGATGTTTTAGTTCCATATTTTGGATTTCTTCAAAATTGGGCTCATAATAAATATACAACTAATTTTGTCATAAACGTTGTCTTTGTTGTATTGAAAATTATTAGTTGATGTAAGAATGATACTGTACCAGTCACGATTAAAATTTGAAGCCTTAATTATATGAAACATAGAAGTAAAAAAGTTTCAAGCTAAGCTGATACCCTGAAGCTAAATAGTATTGTGATAGGCATAGGCTAAAGCTAGAAAATTCTAAGCAAAATAGTTGCTAAAGGTTCTTACTCACTTCACAAGGCCCAAAAGTTCAGGCTCGTCTAAAAATGCAGCATTAGTTTTCGTGAGATTAATGAAGAGGGTGATTGAATCAGCTGCCTGTAAGAGAGAACAGTAATCATAATATAAATTATTGTAACAATATGGGTAGGTATATGTAGGCTAATATTAGATGTTGTGGATCAGGCCAAATGCAATTCTATAAGGAAATTTATCCTCACAGGACCTCACTACAATTATTTCATTCAGTTGATCATATTAAAAATTGAGTAATTGTGCAAATGCTAACAAAATATTAATTTTTATCAACAGATAATTAAAAAGCAACTTGGCAAGTTAAAAAGTCTCGGTTACAAATTTTCAACAAGTTCTTTTCAATACCAGGTATATATTTATTAAAATCACTTGTTTGCTTAAATCGCAAGTTAACTAGGAATTTAAAAGCAAAAACAATACCACAAAAATTCACCATATCTTTATAAGAGAACATGTTTTGGAGTCCAGCGTTTCTCTCCGAAACGTTTTCTCTTACAAAGATATGGTGAATTTTTGTGGTATTGTTTTTGCTTTTAAATTCCCAGGTATATATAAATATATACCTACCTTGGAAGACTTGAGTAGCATTGGATACCAGGTGTTGTAGAAGGGCCCAATGAGATCCTCCACAAGCTCAAGAGATTTGCCATTACCAACAGCAGCAGTGAAAAGTTCAAATCTGCGCATTGCATTCATAGCTTTCATGAATCTTTCCACCTAAAAACATGAAATATTTTATTCAGATACAAATGAATTTTAAATGAACTTCATTCTTGCCCTATCCATCCATAAGATCTAGAGATGAGGAATGCAAATGTTACAACAGAACATAAAAAAAGGAGTAACCATGTGTACAAAATTCAATGATAAGGCAAGAATATACCTACAAAAGTAGGTATTTACTACAGATATAGATTTTAAGAAAATTGTTAAAAAATCTAATGGCATTCACAATATACAAAGATTTCTGAAAAAAAGTTGTATTGAAGTAGAAAAGATTTAATTGCACAACATACAAAGGTTCAGTTGAGACTGTCAAATAGGAGGCTTGGACATAGTTGAGCATTATGTGCCGCATGGGAGCACCAAAGCGTTTTGTGTTGTTGCCACTGACTGCCACAGCGGTGAGTAATGACAGAGCAGCATTTCGACTCTCTTCTCTTGACTCTTGGACCAGCAGATCCTCTAGAGTGAGCCACAGTTTTTCTGCATCGTCCTTAACAATAAATGCTTGGAATTAATATTTCTCTTCATGCAATATTGTAGTCAATAAATATTAGGTTGAGTCTCCAAGAAGTATTTAGGCAAATAAAGTGTTCACTTCAATTGGAGTCAATCGTTATTGGATCCAACATTTTGGAGTCAAATCAATAATATCTGAAAATATTTCATTGACATCTCTACTTAGTTTTTTATTTGAATATTTTATTGGCATCTATACCTACTTTAAGAAAATTCAACAGTAACCATATAGAAAATGGTTTTTAGAGTCACACAGTGGACTTATATAAAATGATAGACCAATAGATACCATACTAATTATAATTTCCCTTGCCATTCAAGAAAAGTCTGCTCACCTCTTTAACAAACTTATCCTTCACGGAGAGAGTGAGCCTTTTGATAGCAGCTAGTCGTGTTGATGCATTAGTGTTATTCTTGCTCAGCTGCTGCATAAACTCAGGAGACAATTGCAGCCCATGCTTCCTTTCAATATCTTGAACAACATTTCCAGGCCAGTCCTGAGGCAGAAAACAGGAAATATTTCAACATTACCTTAAATTAAGCAAATGTACAAATAATTAGCTGGAAGAATTAACACATATTTAATGTTTACTTTGCTATAAATATTAGAAGGACATTATTTGATTTAACAATAACTATTGGAAAGCTACCATTTCTGAAAAATTGGAAAAAATTAAGGTATTAGTACAAAATAAAATTAAGGAATTCAGTTTTGTTCTCATGTGTAATTAGTCAATCCAAGTCTGAAATTTTGAGACTAGCACTTTACTCAAACTATTTGAAGAAAGCTGCCTATTTGATTACAATTATCAGAAAAAATTCAATTCCCAAACATTTCTAACACTTCACCAATGCTTGCTTAATCAACTATCAGCATAGACATTGCCAAAGTTTAACTTATTCACAGGCAAGTTATGTGGTCATCAAAAAGCTCCTCCCAAAAAGACCCACAAACTACCAAGGGCCTAGGCTTTGCCCAAGGCAATATTTTCATGCCGTGGTAAAAATCACCCATCATTAGCTCATAGACGCAAACCAATCTACCTTGCAAAAAAAATTAAAATGCAATCATTGCAATCTGAATTTTAACTTGGAGAACAACATTTATGGGCTTACTGCATTTTCAACATTTTAATAAAGGATGGAAGTCACCATAGCTTTTCTATTGTCTGAGGTAACTTGATGAAATTTAATTAAATTGATGTTTGATAGTAGTTCTTCACAATTTGGTGTTCAAACTTGAATTACATTAAATTTCAAGTAGTGACCACATTCAAGAAATTCTTCAGCTGTGATTTATAAACTTAGCTGGGAAAGTAGATATATTCTAAGACATGTCTAACTTACAGGCCTCAAGATTTCAGAAGAAACTCAAGAAAGTGCTCAAGCATGGCATGGCTTTCTGATCAAGCATGGCCTAGGCATGAATCAAGGGCAAAAAAGAAACATTACTTTTTAGCTACCTAATCTGCTCAATGATATTAGCCAAAATCTTATGTATGATAATGCTATTATCAATAATACTTTACTGGCCCACCCATAGTGCGTCCTCAAGAAGGAAAGGGTGAAAAGGCAATATTAGCAAAGGGCCTAAGTGCTAGAATTTCACAAAGTAACTACAGTCCAGCCAAATATCTACTGTTTAAACCAAGATTAGAGCTTTCCCTCTTATTTTAAAGCCACAATATTCCTGCTAAGTGATTTACCTCCTACCGTCTAATGGGGTAATAAGGGACGGGCTGGGTAAATCAGGGAAGGCGGGAAGGCATCCCACATTTCATTGAGGTGTTGTAGCAGCTAAACTAATAAAAATATTGCAAAACTGAAACTAGTGGTGTAAAGTTCAACATTTTTACCATCTATGTAGCATAAAGCAAATCAAGAAATCACACATTTACTAACTTTAAAAAATTTAACTCGGTACTCACAGCAGTGAGTGACAGAGAGCGCATTTTCTCATCGACGAAAACTAGAGGTCACGGACGGACGGACACACAGACAGACATGGCTAGCACAATAGTGCATTTTTTCCATAAATGAAAAAATGCGCTAAAAATCCATGAAAAAACTGTGAAAAGTGAGCACAGGTGTTGGCTTCAAATATGAATTTGGGTATCTTGTCCACAAAAAAATGGCGGCCATTTCTGCATGATGGGGTAATGAGGGACACCCCCTGGGGTAAAAGGGTCACCCCTAAAAATGCATCTACAGTAGAACTCAAGCTAGCAAATGCTTCAGTTAACAAAAAAATCAATCAACAAAAAGTCTTGATTACATTTACCTTGCTCAGCAAAAAAAATGTCATTTAACAAAAATTTATGCATCATCGGTCATCACAAAATGGTGCATAGAATGTCATAGATAGAATTGTGCACTGGGCAACATAGAATGAAAAGTAACCTTAACTATAATTTATTTCTCCAAAAAAGATTACAGTTGTCATTAAAATATTCCTTTCTGTTTCAGGCATGTTTTTATAATATTTTTTTGTTATAGTGAATTCACTTGACCCAATTAAAATGGTGTGAAATTACAAGCTGTCCTGTAACCTTACAGATACAGAAGAAATGCTATACAGCTGCTGACATGAAGCTTGCAGTGGACAAGGTTGTTGTAAATGCACAATGGCATGTCCACGGATACAGTAATATCACATTAATAATATGATGATGTATGGATATGGTGATATATCAATAATGGACAAAAAAATTCTTATTTCAAGTGTCCAGGATTACTCCGTTCTAAGGGGCAATTTGGGACGCTTTTATTTTGCATCTGGCACCTTACAAATAGCATATGTAATTTTTTTGGAGATGCCAATCAATAACCCTCACAGGAGCTTTAAAATGAGCCCAAACTTGTTATAAAAAGTTAATTGGTAAGAAGTTATTAATAAAGAATGCTCAAAACCATCCCTATTACCCTGTTTGATGGTATCTAATTGTTACCAGAAGTAGAGGATTCTAAACTCATCACTGCAAGATTCCAAACTTAGTGACTATATCCAAATTCATTTGCAATGTCAGCTGCAAGATTTCAGCACAGTAGAACCTCAATTAACAGCAGTAATCTGTTCTTAAGGTTAAACTTAAGGTTGGCATTAACTGAAATAATGTCCTTCATAAGAAACGGTGGAAAGATAAATAATTGTTTCCCAGCCTGTCTTGACTTGCTTACATATATACCGTCAAACTGGGCAATAAGAGATGGTTTTGAGTGCTTTTCATTAATAACTTCTTACCATGAAAAATTTCATGAGTGAGTTTGGGCTCATTTTAAAGGTCTTTGCAAGGGCTATTGAATGGCATCTCCAAAATATTCCATATGCTATTTTTAAGGTGCCAGAGACAAAATAAAAGCCTCCCAAATTTTCCCTCAGAGCATTAATGTCACTAGATTGCTTGAATTGCAGATTCACTGGAAATTTAAAAAGGAAGAAAATTCCACAAAAATTCAGCATTTCTCTATTGAAAATGTTTTGAAGACCAGCTCCATCATCAGTTGATAAATCTTGAACACAAATACAGTCAGAAAATTAATAAAGATTGGAGTCAAAAGAAAAAAAACAGCAGAAGTTAAAACCTAAATTTACAGGCAATGGACAGAATAATAAAGAAATACCTATCTATTCACATTTTTTAACAGATAAGAACTGTAGGAAGCCTTTAAACAAGGCTTCTCTTTAAAAATATACAATGATTCCAAGATGCACAGATTGGAAGCATCAGAACTATAAGCTAAAACCTTAAAGTCAGTGTCAGACACTGGAACGTTGCACTGTTCAGCGTGAGTGAGCACAGCCAAATGAGGATGGTGCGATAGTAACTGCCCAGTCCTATAACTCCTCCCTTTATGCTCAGCAACCCTAGTGTAAAGGTTGCATTCCATCATCCATTGTCAGAAATAAATTGTAGTTTAGGTTAATTACTTTTCATTTTATGTTGCTTGGTGCACAATTCAATCTATGACACTCTCTGCAATTTTATGATGACTGATGACACATTAATTTTTTTAAAGTGAATTTAAGTGAATTTCAAGCACATTTTTAAGCACATTAAGGTGAATTTTTTTTGCTAAGCGAGGCAAATACGTATAATCAAAATTTTTTGTTGTTAATTTTTTTGTCAACTGGAGCCTTTGCTAATCAAGGTTCTATTGTAAATGCATTTTTAGGGGTGTCCCGTATTACCCTGGGGCCTGGGGGAAGTCCCTTGTCCTTGGGGCCTTTCTGTCTTGCAGAAATAGCCCCCTTATTTTTGGAATGAGATATGCAAATTCTGTCAATCAAGTTTTTGAGCAAACTTGCGTGCAACTTATATGTAAATAAATTTTTTTTATACAGCAAATATTTTTTTGCAGAGGAGGTACATTTTCAAAATCTCACTTTTTGTTTTTTTCCAAGATTTTTTAGAGGTAGCCTCAGGTAGGACAGGAAATGCATCATTCTAAACTTGCTTTATGCTATATACTATATAGGTAGTAAAAATATTGAATTTTATGCCACTATTTTTAGTTTTGTAATATTTTGATTAATTTAGTAGCTGCTACAACTACAACATTGTTAAAAATTAAAATGTGTGACGATCGTCCCGATTTACCATGCAACATATTGATCTACATGCTACAATTAGAACAACCTGGCACCTGCTGTAGTGTGTCATATTTATATCAACACCCATTTATAAAAATTTTTGGCAAAAAATATAGTACAATTTTAAGTAGTTCTGACAAGTGACATTATACCTATTTGAGTCTGAGATAACTGAAAAAATTTAAGCTTGGAATCAACCTGAATCTTGATGTTATTAATAAAATAAATTAACTCTAGTCTCTACAATCTATATAACTGTTATTAATGGGCTCATTGGGCTGCAACAACTTCTATTTACAACTGCAGAAAGCAGAAATCCAGAAATAAATTAAACAAAAAAAAAAATTATTTTATGAACTGATGTACTGTAATGTTAATAAGTGGATGAAATAAATAATATAACTGAATAATATAGTGAATAGGAAAATCAATAATCAACCAGAGTAAATACCACTTGGTCTTATTTGTTATTAAGTAAATATAAACTTGACTGCCAATTTAGATCGTAGCTAATTTCACTAAATTATTAAGGCAATAAAGTTTAAAATACTAACCGGAGAACGCATTGTTCTTTTCAGCTTTTCAGAAAGCTCTTTCGACGCATCGTCAGTTCCATTGCTCATGATGCCGGCAGAAATTTGACAACGCAGTAATGGGATTCGTGCCACAGGGCGCAGGCCACAAAGATGCCGAACTACCTATTTGCCGTTTGTCACGAAATCAAACAACAAAATGTACCTATCTTAATACAAACAACAATATGCTACTTGTGTGAGAGCATTAAAATTCTAAAAAAAGAGGCAATAGATAAGTCTTTCGCGAAAATAAAAATACATGTAGAATTACAGTTCATAGCAATACGATACGGATGAGTAGCCCGTGCGCTGCGACGTCTTTCGCCGAACGTCAACAGCTGAGTGAGGCACAGGATGCGTAATTTTCTACATTGTAGCCTTCTGTACCGCCGGAATTGAATGGGAGCTTGTTTCTCTTTTTAAACTTATACGTTCTTATAGTACAAAATGCTAAATAACTAAATTTTTCTGCTCAAAATTTCTACAGACTCGTAAGAAAAAACCTAAATATAAGCTTTAAATTTATCAAACAAGCATGCTTCTTAGAACATCTCAGCTCATTTGTTTCAACAATTTTTTTTCTTTTTTTACTTTCGTTTTTGTCTATTTATAACCAACCTATTGAAAAAGCATTTGCGGTATGCTTCATTCCAAATGATTTTTGAAAACGATAATGACTTATTTTTTTACTTTTTCCAACTGTACTATATTACATGATATTTTCTTCTAAAAGGGTAGAGTAGTTTTAATTTGTACTGAAAATGCACTAATATGAATTAAAAGTAGTCCTCGGGCGTATAGAACGATATCATTGTATTACGTTCATGTATTTTAATTCGGAAAATAATATAACATGTTGAAGTTTCATGATGTAGGTTGTTATGTAAATTTTGAAATCCATTTAGGAGAATGAAGCAAAAGAGTCACTTGTAACTTGAAGCGTTCATCTCTTTTGGAGGAGATTTTCGTCCCTCTCTTGCCTGAAATGCAAAAGTAGTAATATTAGAATACTTATAACAAAATTTACTATAGAGAAAATTCTTCGAGGAATGACGAAATGTTTAATAATTTTACTATCGTCATCTGTTAGAAATCAGAGATAACAGCAGAAATATATAGACATTGTCTCTCATTTTGCACAGTACGCCAAGTCAACCTCTCACCATCATCAGCAGCACAAATAGGTTTACCAGCTCGGATGTTTTGAAATATTCAGAAGCCAATCACAAAAAAATATATACCCAATCCAATCTCACAATCCGATCGCCAATCACAAAAAAATATAGACTAATCTTGTATGATTTCTACGGAGAATTTTTCAAACTCACCACTTTTTCTTTTGTTCAGCGAGTTCCTTTATTGTGTCGGGTACAGGCTTAGACTTGGTCTCAGGCAGTCTGAGGCACAAGGGCACCGCAACAATGCTCAGCGCCCCAAACAGCAGTGATGGCGCCCACGGGACTAAGCTCCTCTGCAGAGCCAAGTAAAACAAATGTTTAATGCTATATATTATTGTAGTATCGGCGCGGACAAGAAGGCTAAGTTTGGTCTGTCACAGATTCTTGTAATGCTTTTTACTTGTCTCCTGGATGTCTGATAGCTGAGCTTATGACAAGATCTATCCGAAACTCACTTTAAATCTAAGTTGCAGCTGACAATCTACCAATTTGTGAAGTGGGATTATTTGATCTATAGAAGGTATTAATAGGTATAATAGTAACAGATAATCGATATATTTTGCTGTCTACAAACATGAGGTAATAAAATATTTTTCAGAATAAAAGCTACAAATGCATTGCTTAGCGAAGAATAAATTGCTAATATCAGGAATTTTAGCACAAATAGTCTATTGTTAACGTACTAAAGTGTCGGTAATGAAAGGCGTGACAATGGCTCCAAATCTCGACACAAACACCATGGAGCCGAGGCCGGTGGTGCGAATTTCAGTAGGCAGAAGCTCCACGGAGAACAAGTAAACGATTTGGAACGCCATGCTGATGCACAGCTTCCCTACCATTGCGAGCGTCATCACTAGCCACACAATCTCTATGAAAAAGAGAGAAATTAATTCGCTTGACGTGACGGAATTGACATGCTGGACTAAGGTGGACATTATAACAACTTTTAGTATTTCGGTGTCAGCGTTGATTAGGTCGTTAGACCAGTCGCCGATTCTAAGCATCACAGAACATTCACAGCATGTTGCGGGTCTCGAACACGCAACTCACTTCTCCAATTTTGCATTGCTTGACCGCCTGGCATCCTCGCCGATATGACCATAACTGTCGCAGAAAGCTGGGATCGAACCCACAACTCACTGCTTCAATCCCGGTACTATGAGCTGTTACCACCAACTGTTACAGTCGAGCTTTCGTTCTTTAATGCCATGACAAGCATTCTACAGGGTGCGGCGCGGGAACTTACTTATTTGAATTGCGCGCCACGTGGCGGCCATTAGTCCTAGGAAGGTGGCGCCATGCGCAATATGGTGCGCGGGCTATGAAGTTTTTCGTCCACTCAGTTCAGTTGCGACCATGCAGTGGTCGAGAGAGGAGCGCGCGTTCTAACAGCATGGAGGTCACCTACAAGATGTAATATTCAAGAATTAAACTTGTAAGTAAACCCAACGAAACTTTAAATGTAGCTCTTTGTAAAAAAGAAAGAATTAAAACGCTATCTTTAATACTTTTTACTTTGTGATTTTTTTAAAAGAGTAAGTTCCCACGCCGCACCCTGTATTTGACAATTTTGACTAATTAGCGAAGGATTTTGTTAAAATCGATGTAGGTACTCGTATTTACAAAGCTGGTATATTTGCTATTATTATGCAAAGGAAATATAAATTATTACGTTTGATATGGAAGTACAATGTTTTTATTATTATAGTATATTATCGTATTATTATTATTATTAAACTGCACGTGATGGAGTCCAGGCAAGGGCGAGGAGGGCGACCCCGCTGGTGGCGTAGCTGAGGGCCGTGGGCCAGCGCCTCCCCCAGCGCGATATGATGGGGGCAGGCAGAATGTATCTGCATGGGGGAACCTTGTTAAATTTGTGATACATTCAGTGACAGTGATGTCACGTCATTGAGTTGTAACTCAGGTTTTTCAGCTTGTGACCGTGGCCCCTGGTGATGGTTCTTGTTTCAAATTCTAGTAATCCTTCCGGGACCATGTATATACCATTAGTATACTTGTATATTTTAATGAGGTCCCCACGCAGACGTCGATAACAAAGGTTTATATTGTAATCTTCATAATCTCTAATCTTTCTTCATAAAAATTGCCTTTTAATGCTGGAGTTATCCTTGTTGTTCGTCTTTGAACACTCTCGACTAAATTTTTGTCTTATTCGAGTTTCGGTAACCACACGGCGTTTCCAAATTCTAGTTTCGCGCGAACACTAGCGTTTTGATTGGATAAGTCACACTGAATAGACATTTTATGACAATAATAATAAAGACAGACTAATAAAGTGGTGAGGCTTGCAAGTGGTAGAATTTATTATCTTAATAGGAAATATTCAGGCTTTATCACTATAAAATGACATTGTGTCACCAAATCACTCTAAATTATTATATGAACAAGAAAAACTAGAGCAGCCTCATTACCCTCAGATTTGGATTATATTCTACTCGAAACAGCTTGACTGCGTAGCCGAGGGTCAATAACACGTGTAAGCGTCAGTGATTACATCCCATACAGCACAATGTTATGATGTAATGCGTGAATTTATTTACCTTTAATCAGTATATTGCTAGGTATTGCAGACGCGTCAAAAAGCAGATTAATCGAGTTCTGCTGTACAAAATCAAGGTCCTAGATGACTGTTTATAGTCTAACAACAGTATTATATTTTTAATTTAGCATAATAATACTTAAATTACCAGATTTATTTCATCAGCAAGATGTAAAATGCAACCGGTATTCCAATTATTTTAGCATATCATCAGGTATATGTTACAAACAGGTATATGTTGAACAAGTATAAGGTTGACCCATCAGAAGCCCATTTTTGCGGATGTAGCTCGTTGTTCGCCTGTGACGTCACTGATCTCAGTGACGTCGCGGGCATTAACCAATCACCGAAATGCGATCAAACCAGTCAACCAATTCGTCGTAGGAATGACGGGTTTGTTTACGTTTCTCGATCTACGTGACGTAACAAAAAAGCTGAACTGAAAGACGGAACTTCTCGTGGGTCAACCTTATATGGTTCAACCATGTATGTTACTACCCTGCTACGAAGCTACTATGATACGCAATATAACCTTCGCGAAAACTGTGATAATAATAACTTTAGAATTAAAATCACTTGTTTGCTTAAATCGCAAGTTAACAAGGAATTTAAAGCATGACTTTCCGTAGGTCACACACGTTGATCGTTGGTGATTTTAATCATCCAGAGCTAGACTGGATAGATGGATCCTCTCCAAGGGAAGAGAATCACCCAGCATACATGTTCATGGAGTCAGTAAGAGACTCCTTCCTAGTCCAGCACGTTACCAAACCAACCCATTATAGAAGTAAACAGACTCCCAATATTCTAGACCTGGTGTTTACCAGTGATGAATCAATGTTGGATGAGCTTCGTCACGAGG